CAGAGAGAGAACTAATGCTGGAGAGAGATTTTATATAGGGGAGGGTGAGGAGGAGGAGGAGGAGGAGGAGGAGGAGGTGGTGGTGTTGCTGTGCCTGGAGAGGATGAGGAAGTGACCTCAGAGCTTGGGAAACCTCCCACTGCTCCCAGCTGTGCCAGTTACCTGGATTATAGGTACCTTCTAGGGAGGGCCACATGCAGTCATGCACTGAGAGAGAACAAAGGGAAGGGGCCGTATTTCCTGAGTATACCTAACATTCCAGCCTTTTGATAGTTATAAAGAGATGCTGATTGTGCCTGGCTACTTCCTGCTGGCAAGGGGCACTAGTAAAAGGGGTAAAAGGTGGAGATGTCATCCAGTCTGGGAGAAGGCAGCAGTAACAGTTCCTTGATGAATGTGGGTGTACATTACAGATTTGATCCATTGCAGCATTTATAGTCAGACCCATAGAGGGATAAATAACTCTTACAAGTATTTATTGCACAAACTTAATAACTTACTTTTTTTTCTTTTTTCTTTTTATAACTTTTAATAAGTTTCAGGTAAAAACTTAAAAACTATTTCTAATGACCTCCTTGTTGCTTCAACTGGAAATAAAAAGGAGGCAATTGGCAAAAACTCTCATTTAATCTGTCAGTCATCTCCTTCCTCTAACGTGGGACTCATGTCAACTGGGACATACCATTCTAGCAATGAGAAAAAATGTCAACTGGGACATCCCATCCTAGCAATGAGTAAATGGGACAGCATTCCAGCAAGAAGAGATCTCTTAGATCCACCAGGACAGAGCTAGTCCTGGCAATAGGGTCTACCCAGAGGCAGTTGGGGAAAACTACACAGATAAGAGGGGATGGACTCCTCAGCACCACATAAACAAAATTCTGGAAGTGGCACTGTGGCTCAAGTGGTAGAGTGCTATCTTGGAGCTGAAGAGCTGAGGGACAGTACTCAGACTCAGAGTTCAGGCCCCATGACTGATGAAAAAAAAAGGTGGGGGGGATGGTGTTAGATCCTAAATGGAGTCACTTTGTGCTTACCCTTTCAAAATTAACCAGGACCAGGTCAAAAGAAAATAGTTAATAAGCATGCCTATCTAATGTCCATACTTGTCTTCTAATTGGACAAGAACTTAAAATTCTTGCCTTTGCTACTTGCTATTATAGTGGGTCTCCCATCCATATGCTATAGTCTGGACATCTATAATCCATACATCTCTAGTCCAACTACAGGCAATGATTAAGGCCTCCTACTACTCCCTTCTGACTGGTTATTATTTTTTTTGGGTGGGGGGGGGGTTCAGTCGTGGGGCCTGAACTCTGGGCCTGGGCGCTGTCCCTCAGCTCTTTAGCTCAAGGCTAGCACTCTACCACTTGAGCCACAGTGCCACTTCCAGGTTTTTTCTTTTTGCTTATGTAGTGCTGAGGAATTGAACCCAGGGCCTCATGCATGCAAGGCAAGCGCTCTACCACTGAGCCACCTTCCCAGCCCCTTACTGGTTATTCTTAACTGGTTCACCATGCTTTCCCCTACCCAGGCACCAGCACTCTGCTCACTTCCACCTTATCGTGGTGAATTAGAGATAAGTGTCCCACAAACATTCCTGCCTAGGCTGGTGAACCAAAATCTCAGATCTCAGCCTTCTCAACATAGCTAGGATTAAGTGTAAACCACCAGTATCCAGCTGTTCTAGGGATTTTTGAACAGAATGGACAACTTGCTTCTTTCCCAGTACCATTATGCCTGGCTACAACTGTGTGTGTGTGTGTGTGTGTGTGTGCACATGTGCACTTGTGCTGGTATTGGGTCTTGAACTCGGGGCCTGGCAGTCTCCCTGAGCTATTTTGCTTAAGGCTGGCACTTTACCACTTGACCCACACCTCTATTTCTGGCTTTTTCTGGTTAATTGTAGATAAGAGTCTCTAGGATTTGTCTTCCTGGGCTGATTTCAAACCCATAATCTTCATATCTCATTCCAAGTAGCTAGGATTACAAGTGTGAGTCACTGGTGCCTGGCTACAACTGTGTGTGTGTGTGTGTGTGCATGCACGCACACACACCTGGGGCTTGAATTCAGGGTCTGGGCTAAAGGTTAGCACTCATCACTTGAGCTACACCTCCACTTCTAGATTTTTCTTTTTGTTCTTTTTGTGTGTTATTAGTTGGAAATAGGAGTCTCAGGGACTTTCCTGCCTGGGCTTCAAACCTCAATCTTCACATCTTAGCCCCCGGAATAGCTAGGATTACAGGCTTGAGCCATTGGTGCCTGGCAACAATTGATTTTTATGTATCTTGCAACTTTGATGAACTCATTTGTGTTTTAGTAGTTTTTTTCTTTTTGCTAAAGGATTTGGCATGTACAAGATCATGTCATTGAAAATAGTTTTGTTTCTTGCTTTTCAAACTGGATGGCAATAGCATCTTTTTCTTGCCTAATTGCTCAGGCTAGAATTACCTACACAATGTTGAGAAGTGGTGTGCATAAACATCCTAATGCAGCTCCTGATTCGGGAACTCATCCTTACCTGTTTTGTGATTGTAGTGGGCTTTTCAGAGATAACTGTACAAGGTCCCTTTTCCCCCTAGTTTATTGAATTTCTTCATCACGGACAGGTTTTGGATCTTGTCAAGTGCTTTGTCTGCATGCCCTGTGAGGTTCCCCACTGCCCCACATTGATATGGTGTATCATGTTAACTGATTTTTAGACATTAAACCTACCTTGTGTTCCCATGGTAGGCCTTGGTGCCACTTTACTATGGACTTGGCATCCATGTTCAGAGATGTACCACTGTGGTTCCTTCACTTATAGTATCTTCATCTGGTTTTGGTGCCAGAGAGCTTCTATTTAGTCTATGCTGGCTTTGAATGCATGATCCCCCTGCTTTCCTTTCCCCAAACCTCCCAGAGTGTGTTAGCTTTCTTACTGGGGATGGCCTATGGAGAAAAGGTGCACACTGCAGAGTTTACCCAACTGCAGAGTTTATCACAACTCCTTTTGAGCAGGTAGATCTGGACATTTGCCATCTGCAAAAACTTGAATTCTGTGAGCAGGGTGGTAGAGTAGGTGAGAAATACCAATTGGATGAGCAAGTATCCATAACAGGGCCAGGTCGGATGTGGGTCTGAGAGCTTGGATTTTCAACTAGCTCTTTGATGAAGGCCCAATACTGGGGATACTGCAGAGTTGGGTGACTTGGTGAGTGGATGAGTGTTTATGCCTGGCTGTGGCTCTGGAGCTGGGAATTTGAGTCAGGCTTGTCTAGCTTTGTCTCCTGTACTTAGACCTAAATAGCTTCTGTGTATTTTTTCAATACTGAAGATTGAACTCAGGGCCTCACACTTCCTAGGTAGGCAAGCCAAGCCTCCTACCTGTTTTTGCTTTGGTTATTTTTGAGGTAGGGTCTTGCTTTATGCCCAGGCTAGCCTGGGTTGCAGTCTTCCTTCTACTTCCCATTGGTTTTGGAAATGACAGACACACAGCCACTGCATTTCCTCTGTAGCTTCGATAACAGGAATGTATCACCATGGCCAGCCACTAAGGTTCAGTGAGATTGGCCTCAGCAATGGTAGGGGAGATGGCTGTACCCCAGAAGATTTTGGGGGCTTTTGAGAGGACATGGGACAAATGAGTCTCAAATGCTAGTTAGGCAGACTCCTCTTTTGTCTCTAACTTCCAAGGTAGTCAGTCCTTGGCTGCAGGTAAGAATCTGAGGGGCAGAGGTAAATCAGAGACATAAGAGAGGAAGCCCTGAGACTGGAAGGCTGGCAACGGGTTCCCCTACAGTCACAGCAACGTCCAGAAGCTGGCAAGAGGGGAACAATGTGCGACAACGTGAGAAGAGGAGCAGGTCCAACTATGAGGCCCTGGTCTCCTTGCTCTCCGCCAGCTGCAGGGGGACTGAAGGGTTTGGCTGGAGAAGGGGGCAGGCACTCAGGCACCATCTATGTGTGCAAGCCTCAGGAACACTGTGCAGAGAGCCTGGGCTGCACCAGGGCCTGGCCTGGCTGAGGAAGGGTGGGGGGAGAGGACTTCAAGGACAATTCAGCAACACAACATGGGGGAAAAGTGCCTTTGTGACTCCCATCAACCTGTGGCCCGGGAACTCTATACATGATATGGGCAGGGCTGGGCAGAAACTCCAAGTATAATCTTCACATGAAAAAGGGAAGGAGGAAGAGCAAAAAGTCCACATACAGGTATATATTTTTATATAGAATTTATACAATATATTTCTCTTCATTTGCATATTTTATCCACAACATCCTTTTTACAGGCTGAACTCTCTCAGCTCATATAATCAAAATTTTTTCTTTCAACCAAATAAGAAAAATTCAAAATCGTAAACCCGTAAGAAAACAAATTAAAAAGAATGATGAAAATAAGTCACTCCTCTCATTAGGAACAGTGTCTGTACAATGCATATGATTGGAAACAGAATTTCTTTATAGGTTAGGCACATGTTTCCATGACATAGTATTCTTGCCAGTTCTGTCTCATTCTAGGCAGTCTTGTCTAAGGGTCAAGGGGATCCAGCTGCCCAGGGATGGGACCCGATTCAGCAGCACCTCCCAGTGGCCAGGGGCAGAGGCAGCAGTGGGCTGGGAGGCCAGGTAAGGAAGAGCCCTGCCAGACAGCAGCAGAGTGGCACATAAAAGGAAAAACTCAGGTTTGTTCTATGCAGACTGAAGCAGAGACCAAATTGGATGGGCAGTGAACTGAGAGAAACTAGGAAATCCGTGTCTATTTACACTTGCTCCTTCTGATGGGAGGGTTGAGGGGTGGAGGGCCACATTCTCCTCATCAGTCTTTCAGCTGCTGTTTGTCAGTCAATGAGCCTCAGCCCACAGTGTTTACTGTTGGTTTTGAGCCAGTCCTGGGGCTTGAACTCAGGGTCTGGACACTGTCCCTGAGCTTTGGTACTCAAGGCTAACACTTTACCACATGAGCCATGCTCAACTTTTGGCTTTTTGTAGTTAATTGGAGATGAGTCTTATGGACTTTCCTGCTGGCTTTGAACTGCAATCCTCAGATCTCAGCCTCCTGAGTAGCTAGTACAGGCGTGAGCCATGGGTGCCTGGGTCACAGTGGGGTTTTTTACCCAAGCACTGAGATTCAATCTGACCCATCTTGGGATTCTGAACCTTCTCTGAGGTGTAGGCAACTTGCAAAGCAAGGGCAGGCTGGGAAAGGGCCAGGTGTGGGAAAGGGGCTTCCCCTTGGCTAGTAACCTATCAACTCCCCTTGACATTAGGGCAGTAGGTAGTGTACCACCATCCCATTTCTTGTTGTCTCTTTGCACCCCACCCCCTCCCACTCTGTGGCCATTTCCCCACACCTAGAGCCTCAGCTGAGAACTTAACTCTAGGGCTATGCAAGTAACCTCCTGAGCCAGAAGGCACGACACCCTTGCAGGCAGGTGCTCCAAGGCTTGCAGACTCAGGCTCTGCCTATCTAGACTCCCCTGCCGTCCCCTGAACCTCTTCAGAGACCAAGGGTCATACTAGAGCTTTCCTTGGGTTTAGTCCTATGAGGTGCCTCTAGCCCAGGGCCCTGCTCTTAAAAAGCAGCTACTTCAGGCATCTTTGTTCTCATGAGTTCCCACTGAGCTGGCCGTGGCCCACATGACAACCCTGTCTCACATGCTAACACATGGCTCTAGAAAGTGGATGATCATCAGCACAGGATGAGGCTAAAGTCACACAGAAAAAATATGAAACAGCATCCACTAGAACTCATATCATTATTGCTAGAAGATGACAGTCAGGTCTACCTAGGGTGATGGGTGGGAAGGACCACCCTTTAAGCAGAAATAAAGCCAGGTAGGTTTTTACTCTTAAAGTGAAATCTTTTTGGAGAGCCTGATATTGCAGGTGCTGATGCTGCAAAGTTCTTCCAGCTCCACTGCTTTCACTCATCAGCTTGTCCCTGGCATTCCCTGGAGGCCCACTCAGAGAGTGTGCTTCTCTTCTAAAAGCAGGAGGTGGAAACCAACACATGTTAAAACAACTGAAAGAAATCATTACTGTTCCGGGAGCACAGTGTGGGTGGGCATGCAGGGTGGCCCGCTGGCTGTGCCCAGCGGGCACTTGCTCCCATGAGGCATTCTCCAGGATGGCTGAGCACTCAGGGAGCTAGCTGGTATGTGTCCCATTCTGAATGCAGAGGGGCTGGTGCTGGCCAGGAGGGGGTTGCACTGGCTGTGGTTTGGTTTGGATTTCCTAATCTCACAAATTTAAAGCAAAGGTATAGTCTCTCCCGCCCCCCAGCCAGCCCACTGTGGCTGTGCCTCTCATTGCCAGAGTGGCTTCTGGCAGGTGGTGCCTTCCTCCACATTATCCACTGACAGAAAGTACAGGCATCTCTAGCTTAGAGGAGACAGAACCTTCCAGCAAGGCTGTTTCCAGGTCTTCTGCACTGTTGCTCCAGAGGGGCGACCCTGGAGGAGGCTGGTCTCTGAGCAAGTTTTCCAAATGCCTCCTGCAGGTCCTTTCTGAGTCATTCTGCACTTTGCTTTTTCTCATGTGTGACAATCCATACATGATAAGCCTGTGCACGAGTTCTTAGAGACACAGTGCTTGGCATAGGATGAGTACAGGAGTGAGCTCAAATAGAGCTGGGCACTGAAGCCGCAGGAATTTTTTTCTCAGTGAGGCTGGAGGCTGGAGGTCTAGCTTTGAACCCCTGTGGACAGATTATCAAGTCCATGAACGTCACAGCCACAGTGAGGTTAACACTCAACATTCCAGAGGTGGGTGGCCTTGTTTGGGTAGTTGATGGCCAGGCTGATGGCAGCAACATTCTGCAGAGCCTGTGGAAGAGAACAGCCAGCATCAAGCGCTATTCACTCACTCACACACCAGTGAACAAGACCCTCTGTTGAGCACTGAGGGAGCAGGGATGGAGCTCTGAAGGAAGCTACATGCAGACCCTCACCTGGAGAACCACAGAACAGAGATGAGACATGCCAGCTAGCTAAACCACAGGAAAACCTCAGAGGTGAGGTATAAATCATCAGTGCCCACAGCAGTGTCATGCTGGGAAATAGGGAACACTATCTGCTGGGGGCTCTGGGAAAGATTTTTAGGTGCAGAGGGGAAGATTATAGCACAAACAGGAGACAGAAGTAGTGGTAGGAAAGTAGGGACCTTGGAAGGCAGGCTGAGTAGAGGGAGTGGGAAAAAGGAGGACACCAGGTAGAGGAATGTTGGGGAATGATACAGATAGACTGAAGGAGTTAGTGGAAAGGGAAACTGGACCTGGGAACAGGCATGGAGGTCAAGCCCATGGGAAAGCTGCTATGTTGATTCCCAGTGCCAAGAGTTGTCAAACATCAATGAAACCCGGGGAGGTAGCAGCAGTGCTAGCAGGAGGCTGTTAGTGGGGCAGTGAGTGTTCAACCAGTCTATACGGGTCTCAGCTTTCTGCAGGCTCCTCTGTCTTTGCTTGGGGAATACTACTTCTGAGCTGATGCTCCTAACCCAGGACTGGAGGCCCTGTCTTCCAGGGACACTGTGTACTCAGAACTTTCCACAGACAGAAGCCCTGCCCTGTGGAGATGTCCCAGCTGGATGCCCATGCAAGGCCTCCATGTCCCCATCTGCTGTGGGGGTTAAGTAGACACCACAGTACTCAGAGTCTGTGAACCCAAGATTCACCAAAGGACACCTGGGACAATACATCACAGATTTGTGTTTCACTGTACCTGTCTCCCAATGCCTGGGGAGCTCTGTGGAGCCAGTGTGGTAGCACACATGAGAGTAGGGGCACACATGAGGATCCAGAAACCTTCCACTGAGTCAAACAATAGAAAGCTGACAAAATGGGACTCAGGGCCACTACACTCAGTAGTTTGTTTTGAAAAAAGTTTTTTTTTTTTTTTTTTCACAAAACATGTTAAGATGAAATGTGTTGGGCTGGGAAGGTGGCTCAGTGGTAGAGTGCTTGCCTTGCATGCCTGAGGCCCTGGGCTCGATTCCTTAGTACCACATAAGCAAAAAAGAAAAAAAAGCCAGAAGTGGTGCTGTGGCTCAAGTGGTAGAGCACTAGCCTTGAGCTGAAGAGCTGAGGGACAGCGCCCAGGCCCAGAGTTTAGGACCCTCCCCCCCGCAAAAAACAAACAAACAAACAAAAAAACCAAAAAGATGAAATGTGTTTACTATACTTTTGAAAATGAATTGATAAATGGTTAAGATTTTTTAGCTTCTTATTTTAATTTCTGTATTTGAAATCTAATACTTTCTAATGGTACTTACTGAGGTAGATAATGTACAAGACCAAAAGCTCTCTTAGATCCTTGATAATATAAAAGTGTGACAGGCCCTGAGACCAAACAGCTGTCAGAAAAGGAGTTTTCCAACCAAGCAGTAACATCCAAAAATATCTGAAGTGTAACTCTATGGAAACTTTAGAGATCAGCCAAACTAAATTTAAGACACTGGTTGTTTTGGTTTTAAAGACACAAATTCTTGCATCTTCTGACCCTACAATTTAATATGAGTGACCGTGTTATAAATGGAGCTCGCCGGCTCTCTGAGCACCAGAAGGAAGTGAGTGAATTGGAACTGGGCTCTGTAATCTCTGAGAGGGTCTGTATTCATCAAGCAAAACACACTGTCCTGGCAACAGCAAGATGCTATTGCCTGTGAAGTAAGGAGACTGGGTCTAAGCAATATGCCTGGTCCTTCTGGCCATCCTAGTGCCTTGCTGGGTGGAAGGGGCTTTCTACTCAGCTCTTCAGAGGCCTAGAGGTGAGAGAAGCCATTCACTGAATTATAGATGTCATGTTCTTTAGCCTCAGGAGAGCTTTCAGTTTCCCCTAAATGGTTTGAGTTTGAGGTGTATTCCCTATATGGAAAGTTTAAGCTGACCCCTGAGCTACTCCCTTAGATGGAAAGTTCTGCTTTCACCTGAGTATTCCTATATAAGGTCTGCTTTTGCTAGAGCTTGGTCTTTACTCCAAGCATGTGATTTTTGTCTTTAAAAGCTTGGTTCAAGCTCTGTTAGGGGCTGCAGGTCTTTGAGATAGGAGTCTACCTGCAGATGCTGACTCTCCAATAAAGACTTCCAATTCAACCTCTCAAAAATGTGGCTTGTTTCTTGTTGACTGAATTCCCATACAACACCTGCTACAAGATGGCCCAGGTGGCCAGCTCTGCAGATGTGAGTGGGTTACCTGGGCTGCACAGCGAAGAAGGTGGTCATCAGTGGTTAAGGCTAGCAGGTACTCCTGCAGCAAGCCAAGCTCCTGAGGAGAGAACACCAGTTCTATGAGCAAAGGATGCTGGCAGACCTGGGAAAAGGGAACCATCTAAGGGATAAGCAAGACCTGCCTACCTGGCCTTCTTGGCCCCACTCATTCTAGAGCTATAAAAGAGCCTGAGGGCTGACACTGCTCTGGCCAACCACAGGGTAGAAGGGAGGACCCCTCTCCTAAGGCTAGTCTGCTCTGGTTTGACTGAGGAGGATAAACCGAAAGATCTGTGAAAGGTCTCTTTCATCTCACATGCTCAATGAGTCTATTGTGCTGAGAGGAATACAAAGGAGAAGGAAGAGGAACCATCCATTTGATTTTCCAAAGCTTTCTATGGTCTAGGGCTGGTCCAAGGTGGTTTTCTCCCCACTTTGGCTTTAGGCCTGACAAAATAAGCAAGTTTTGTACTAGCCTGAGGGATTCCCAGGGCTGACAGGAGGGCAAGCTTGTAGACCTAGCTTGTCCAGACACCAGGGCTCTAGACTAAGCTATGACCCAAGTCCTGTGCTGGGCAGCAAGGGCAAAAGCACATGGTGGCACCATCCTCCCCACCCAGACTTAAAGAGTGAGAGATGGATAGTGACTTCACCTGGGCACGGTTCTCGGTGACAAAAAAAAGCTCAGTGAGGGCCCGATGCAGGGGGAGCAGGATGCCAGGCTGTGTCACGTCCTCAAACAGGCTGTACTCCATGTGGGTAAACAGCAGCCACAGCGGCTTCAACAGTGCCAGGTCACAAAGGTCACTGTGGGAGGAGTCCAGGATAGGTCAGCTTACTAAGGACCGGGGTAGCCATCAAAGCCGCTCACATCCTCCCTGTCCAGAACAGCCATCATAAAACAGCCCCCAAGACTATGTTGGTGCTTCACACCTGTAATCCTAGCTACTCAGGAGGCTGATTTCTGAGGATTGTCATTCAAAGCCAGCCTAGGCAAGAAAGTTCATGAGATTATCTCCAATCAATTAAGAACCAATAAAACTAGAAGTGAGGCTGTGGCTCAAGTGGTAGAACACTAGTCTTGAACAAAGAAAGCTTAGGGATAGATAATACTCAGACCCTGAGTTCAAGCCCAGGACCAACACACACACTCTCTCTCTCTCCTCCCCCTCCCATCTCTCCAAGAGCAAGGAGAGAGCAGAGCCTAAACTTCAAAGCTAGCTCTTAAGGAGCCTAAAGGGCCTGAAGTAAATTCACAGAAATTACTGTTTACTTTTAAAAACGGTTCTTATGGGGACTGGGAAGGTGGCTTAATGGTAGAGTGCCTCTCCCTGCCCTGTTTCCAGCTAGGGGCTGACTTTTACAGCCATCACATTCGCTTCCTGACTGGAATAATCCTTTCTTTTACTTCTTTATTTTGTGCTGGAGCTGGGGCTTGAAGCTGCCCCTGAGCTTTTTTGCTCAAAGCTAACCTTCTATCATTAGAACCAGCTCCACTTTTGGCTTTTTGGTAGTTAGTTGGAGATAAGTTTCATGGACTTTCCTGCCCTAGCTGACTTTGAACTATGGTCCTCAGATCTCAGCCTCCTGAGTAGCTAGGATTACAGATAGGAGCCACTGTGTCTGGCTAAGCCCTTTACTTACTTACTTATATTATTTATTTTTGTTGGTCAAAAGGCCTGAACTCTGTCCCTCAGCTCTTCAGTTCAAGGCTAGCACTCTACTACTTGAGCTACAGCGCCACTTCCGGCTCTTTCTGCTTATGTGGTCCTGAGGAATCGAACCTAGGGCCTCATCCATGCAAGGCAAGCACTCTACCACTGAGCCACCTTCCCAGCCCTAAGCCCTTTAAGAGCAATTCCATATTATATGAGATTACTTTTTAATTTTTTTTTCTTAATTTTTAGCAAAGATGGATTTTAGTGTAACAGTAGGGAGAAATGGAAAAAGAGAAACAGTTCCTTGTCCCATGTAGGAAATATGGGTTAAAGATTCCAACTTAGGCTGGGAAGGTGGCTCAGTGGTAGAGCGCTTGCCTTGCATGCCTGAGGCCCTGGGTTCGATTCCCCAGCACCACATAAGCAAAAAGAAAAAAAAAAAGCCAGAAGTGGCGCTGTGGCTCAAGTGGTAGAGTGCTAGCCTTGAGCTGAAGAGCTGAGGGACAGCGCCCAGGCCCAGAGTTCAGGCCCCACGACCGGACCCAAAAAAAAAAAAAAAAAAAAAAATTTAAAGGGGCTGGGAAGGTGGCTCAGTGATAGAGTGCTTGCCTTGCATGCTCAAGGCCCTGGGTTCGATTCCTCAGCACCACATAAGCAAAAAGAAAAAAGCCGGAAGTGGCGCTGTGGCTCAAGTGGTAGAGCACTAGCCTTGAGCTGAAGAGCTGAGGGACAGTGCCCAGGCCCAGAGTTCAGGCCCCATGACCAGACCCCCAAAAAAACAAACAAACAAAAACCCAAAACAAAACAAACAAAAAAAAGATTCCAACTTAAAACTAGGGCTTCATGTTTGATAGGCAGGTGCTTTACTGCTTCAGCCATACCTTCAGCCCAAGAAGGTAACTTTTTATTTTGTCCATCCTACTTTGATTACCATTCTGTGTATATGCCTTAAAAATTCAGGAAAGAGCCACGAACTGTGGCTCATACCTATATTCCTAACTACTTAGGAGCTGAGATCTGAAGACTGAACTATACATGAAGACCCTACCTCAAAACAAAACAAGATGGTCTCCAAGGTGAATAAGTAAGCTGAAAGATTTATATAATTAGATGATTACATATACAAATCTGTAATAAACTACAATCTTTTCTGTTTGTACTAGTAGTAGGGCCTCACTGCTCTTGCTTAGAGCTGGCACTCTACCACTTGAGTTACACCTTCATCTCTGGCATGCATCAGGAACTTTTTTTATTTTTTCTGGTCCTGGAGCTTGAACTCAGGGCCTGGGCACTGTCCTTGAGTCTCTCTGTGCTAAAGGCTAGCACTCTACTACTTGAGCCACAGCGCTACTTCCGGCTTTTCCTTTTTATGTGGTACTGAGGAATTGAACCCAGGGCTTCATGCATGTTAAGCAAGCACTTTTTTTGGTCAGTCATGGGACCTGAACTCTGGGCCTAGGTGCTATCTCTAAGCTCTTCAGTTCAAGGGGAGCACTCTACCACTTGAGCCACAGCGCCACTTCTGATTATAGAAGCAGTCTGGAAAGAGGGCTTCCTTTGCTCATTCTTTCTTTCTTTTTTTTGTTAGTTGTGGGGCTTGAACTCTGGGCTTGGGCGCTGTCCCTGAGCTATTCAGCTCAAGACGAGTGCTCTACTGTGCCACGTCCTAGGCAAGCACTCTACCGCTAAGCCACATTCCCAGTCCCTATCAGGAACTTTTCTACCTGGTCTGGCTTAGAACTGTAATCCTCAGATCTCAGCCTCCCGAGTAGCTAGGATTATAGGTGTGAGCCACCAGTGCCTGGCTAAAACTAAAATCTTTTTTTTTTTTTTTTTTGTCCGGTCGTGGGGCCTGAACTCTGGGCCTGGGCGCTGTCCCTCAGCTCTTCAGCTCAAGGCTAGCGCTCTACCACTTGAGCCACAGCGCTCTCCGGCTTTTTTCTTATGGGGTGCTGAGGAATCGAACCCAGGGCCTCAGGCATGCAAGGCAAGCGCTCTACCACTGAGCCACCTTCTCAGCCCTAAAACTAAAATCTTTAAGGCAGTATGATGTTGCACAGGGATCACCAAAAGACCAAAGGAAAAAAAGGAACCAAGACAGACTCATATACACATATGGACAGCTGTTGTGAGAGTGGTGAGGGAAACAGTGGAGATCCAAAGGGAAAACTAACTGGTCCTTTACTTCATAAGATACACTAAATTCATCCTGGGTAGATTATAGAATTAAGTGTAAAAGGAAAAACAATTCAATTTCTTAAAGCTAACATAGGAGATATCTTCATAACTTTCAAAATTGTTTAAACAGGATACAAAAAGCATTAACATAAAGAAAATGATGACCTGGAAAACATTAAAATTACAACTGTTCCTGGGTGCTGGTGGCTCATGCCTGTAATCCTAGCTACTAAAGAGGCTGAGATCTGAGGATCTTGATTTAAAACCAGCCCAGGCAGGAGAATCTGTGAGAATCTTAATCTCCAATTAACCACTAGAGAACTGGAATTAGAGCTGTGGCTCAAAGTGGTAAGGCACTAGCCTTGAGCAAAAGAGCTCGGAGACGGTGCCCAGGCTGAGTTTAAGCCTCACAACCAACAAAAACAAAATTAACTGTCTTCTCATCTGACATCATAAACTGTGAACTGGGTGGAAAAAGACCACTGCTACCACCTACCTGATGTGGGACTCAGACACAGGACACAACCTACCTGTGTGTGCAGCATCGCACAATCCTCAGTAGTAAATGGATGGCCTTTAGTCTCTGATGACCAGTCTGGCGGCAGGCTACGCCCACCAGCCATTCCCAAATTTTGGCCAATGGGAGGTGAGGCACAACCCTTTCTTCTGATAACATCTGCTTCAAAATCTCGAATCCTAGCCAACCCCACCCATAAAAGACAGATATTTTAAAAACAGGTCTAACAATTGTGCTTATCGAGAATTATACATTTTTAATTGTTCAAATTTTAGCAAGTAGGATAAAATAATTGTGATCATTTAAATTCTGGCTGAAACTAAGCCTCTTGTAAAAATAACACAGGAAAAACATTCTCATTTTCCTATTTTTGAAAAATACCGTAGCAAATTTTAAGAGAAACATGCAACCCTTTTCAGGTCATGATGGATGGCTCTTTTATCTGACCATTCAAGTTTACAATTAGCCAACTATACTTCAGACTAAGGTGAGGGGTTTGTGAGACACATGTGGGAAGCTTTATAGAGAAAATGCTTGATTTTCACCAAGATGAGTGACACAATGGCATCTAGAGCACAGTGCTTCATTGGGCAAATTGTGTAAACAGAAAGGGCAGAGTACACACCTGTTTGGAACCGTCCTAGGTGTCCGGCTGTCACAGTGAATTTGTAGCCCCACTCAGTGTTGCTCATGTCAGAGGTGAATCGGTAATACAGAGTATCTCCTGGGTCATGAAGAAGTAGAGAAAATTCAGGACACAGGGGAAACAGGGGAAAGCAACTGACGTGTTTCTGATGAAACTGCTTAAGCTCATTAAAAAATCCTCCGTAAGGGTTGGGAATGTAGTTTAGTAATAGAGTACTTGCCTAGCATGCATGAAGCCCTAGGTTTGATTCCTTAGTACCACATACACAGAAAAAGCTGGACATGGCATTGTGGTTCAAGTGGTAGAGAGCTAGCTTTGAGCAAAGCAGCTCAGGGACAGTGTCCAGGCCCTGAGTTCTAGCCCCAGGACGGGCAAAAATAAATAAATAAATAAATAAATTCTCCATAGCTAGGCACTGGTGGCTCAAGCCTGTAATCCTAGCTACTCAAGAGGCTGAGATCCAAGGATTGTGGTTCAAAGCCAGCCCTGTCAGAAAAGTCCCTGTTAGATTATTTTTTAATATTATTTATTTATTTATCTATTTATTTATTGTCAGTCATGGGGCCTGAACTCTTGGCCTGGGCGCTGTCCCTAAGCTCTTCAGCTCAGCTCAAGGCCAGCACTCTACCTCTGGAGCCACAGCGCCACTTCCAGCTTTTTTCTTTTTGCTTCTGTGGTGCTGAGGAATTGAACCCAGGGTCTCATGCATGCAAGACAAGCACTCTACCACTGAGCCACCTTCCCAGCCCCCTCCTCCCACCCCGTTAGATTCTTATCTCCAATTTACCACTTAAAAACTGGAGGTGGTGCTTTGGCTCAAAATTGTAGAGCACTAGCCTTGAGCACAAAGAAGCTAAAAGATAGCATGCAGGCTCTGAGTTCAAACTCCATAAGCAACAAAATAAAACAAAAAACCTTCCAATTATTTCCTTCTCAATATGCTCACACATTCCATATGAACAGGCTACATAATCAAGTATTTGTTTTTATTACCTGGAAGCTCAAAATCTTTCCACTTCTGTTGAGACCCACTGAAGTTGTGTCGATCCTGCTGGAAGTCACTACTGCTGGACATAGCTAACTCATCACAGCCTTCCTCAGTGTTACACTGAGAGTCAAATTTGATTGAGAGGTAGATGGCACCAGGAATGTGGACTTTATCCTAAGAGGAGTGAGAGAAAACACTTTCATCAGGCTGGTGCTGTAGTCAGGGATATGAAGATGAGTGTCTCTCTCCGCAAACTCATTTCTAGCTGGGTGATGTACTACATTCAGGCGGCAAGATGGCACAGGGTTGGGCACAATGGGGCAAGCAGAGAAGGGTCCTAGTATTGATGGTATAGTTTGTTTTTTTTTTTTTTTTTGTGAAGAATGAAGAGGACAGAAGAAAGGGTCCATGAGTACACAGACTTGAGTTTCAGGAAGGGAGCTGCACTGCAGAGGTCTGGTGTGCTGAAAGAATGGCAAGAGGTGTGCTGTGTTTAGGGTGATTGGTAGCGACAGACAACCAAAGCTTTATGCATGAAAATGAGGTATTTGGTCGGGTGCTGGTGGCTTATGCCTGTAATCCTAGCTACTCAGAAGGTTCAGTTCTGAGGATCATAGTTCAAAGCCAGTCCAGCCAGGAAAAGTCTGTCAGATCCATTCCAATTAACCACCAAAAAGCCAGAAGTGGAACTATGGCTCAAGTAGCAGAACACTAAAAATACCCCCAAAAAACAAAAAAAGGAAACAAGGACAGCACCCAGACTCTCAGTTCAATTCCCAGGACCAGCATAAAACAAAACAAAACAAAAAAACAAAAAAAAAAAACAAAAATCCCCAGCAAGGTGGAGGATACTATGTACTATGTTCATGTACTGAGGTAGGGTACTGACAGTTGCTGAAGATTCAGACCAGTCTAGGCCAGGTAAGTCAAGAGAGAGGAGCAATAGGAACCAGAAAAAAAAAGAGAAGGCAGCAGGAAACAAAACATGGTCATTTTTGGGGTAGAACCTGGCAGGTGATGAGTCTTGGTGGTACTAGGGGAGAGGAAGACAGAGCACAGGAACAGGGGAAGAGAAGAAACTTAGAAGGAAGAGGGGAAGGAGGACTACCCATCTGTAAACAACATTTCAGTTGACTGACAACCAGCTTCTGAACAGGCGTCTGTCCTCCACTACAGGGCAGGGTGCTGGTCTTGCCAGCTTTAGCATTTATTTCTTTACTTTTTGGTACTGGTGCTGGGGCTTGCACTGTAGGACTGGGCACTATCCCGCCCTCTGGAGACTCGTTTTGAACCAAGATCCTTAGACCTCAATCTCCTGAGCAGTTAGGATTTATAGGCGTGAACCATGGCAGCTGGCTAGCTTCAGCATTTCTAAAGGGTTAAGGAAAGTCACATAGCATCAAGTTGATGAGAGGTAACTGAGGTTGCCTATCCAACTCACCCAAACTCCTCCCTCTCCATCAGATACAAGTTTAAGGATAGAAAACATGAGAATTTTTAGTTTTAGGTAATTAAAAGGGAGATGGGTGGCCAAGTCATCAGAAGATAATACACAAGGATGAACCTAGATCCACAGGCAGACTCACTGCTGGAAGAGGCCAAGGATTCACTCTTAGCAACTTACTGTAAGAAAAGTCAACTCTGGAGCCAGTGGCCCATTTTTTTCTTATTATAACACTGAAGGTCAAGAGAAGGGGAGACTTGGTTATACAGGATCCCTGGCTTCTGGGAGGTGACTGCCACCTAGTGGAAGGAAATGCATTCTTGGTCAGGGCTAATGGGAGAAGAGCTGCTAAGGGCCATACCTCAAAGCTGGTGTTGTTATTATATGGGTGTTTGGATTCCCTCACTTGCACCTCCATTCCGGGCTCCTCCATGAACTGGCAGGCAGCCAGAGCCATGGTCCCCAGCATGTTCTCTCGGCAGCCCTGGAGAACCTTCTGCAGAATCTGGCAGGATGCAAGGGGATAAAGGCAGGGCTTGTCAGTGGTCTCAGGAGGAAAGAGGCAGAGTCTACCTCCATCCAAGGCCTACCAGGTGCTGGCATTATCCTAGAACAAACCTCTGCAACCTGTGCATACTAACCCTAACCCTGTCAACCACATCTGGTTTAACGAGGCCCCTACTCTAAGTCAGAACACTGTAGTGTTTTCAGAAGAATACCATTTCTAATAATAAAAGAAAACAAACAAAAAATAAGCACACATACACACCACTACCACCTCCACAGAATGATGCTGCAAGAATCCATTGGAGATGGGCCTGGCCCATGAAAAGCTTGCAGCTGAGCAGATGGAGGGCCATACAGGTAAATATCACAACACATTATGATACATGACCAAGGCAAAAAGCGAGAGTTGGGGATAGGCACATCCAACAATGGAGCTAGCAGAGGCACAATGGCACCATTTATCTCTTCTAGAGGCAAATATGGCTGGAGAACACTGACCATAGGACTGTGATGTGTCAAAGGACCACATGGACATGGGTGGTGTTCTCAGACACACCGCTTCCCACAACAGTGCACTTGTGCATGGTGGGGCAAGAGGATAAAGAAGGCACCAAAAGATGTCTGCATTTGGAATCTGGAAAGATCATGACAAAATTTTTTGGGCCAACAGGAAAAAGTGCTCAGGGCTGCTGAGTTGTAGGCCAGAATGTTTTTTGTTGCACTAGGCTTCTGCGTCCAGGCAATAGGAGAAGGCAGGCCTGTTGCCCAGCATTGTTGAAGGCCTGGTTTAAAAATAAAACAGAAAATGACTTCCAACTTAAAACTAGAAAATCAGATTTTAGAGAGTGGGCACAGACCCTGATGAAATTCCCTATGCCACTGATATGCCAGTACCTTGTGTATAGGCCTCCCTGGCTTGATTTCTACCTACAACACTCAGGTCATGATACAGCCCACGTGCAAATGAGGGAAGAACATTTGATCTGGATAGACATTCGAGAAACAATGCTATAAAACAGAAGTTAAAAACCTCACTGAGAGCTTTTTATATTATGGGGACAGGATGCCAGGGATTTCTAATTAATGCTGCCCCTTGAACTTTGCATCCAGGGCTATGAGAAGAGCTAGAGAGCTTTAAGGCTGCTATCGGTGTGAAACAGTGAAGGTAGAAGGCAAAGGCAGGTTTCATGGGCCGCAGTGGTAAACGTTCCTTGAGCAGTAATTGTGCATGGTTGTGAGCTCAGTTCCAGGCCAATCTGTGTAAGAAGCAACCCCCACCCTAGTCATAGTCACACCACCAGGGGGCCATACAGCCAGAAGCCTGCCCAAGCATCCCAGCGGCCACACAGAAGAAAGAATGGATAGAGGAGGAAGCTGAAGGTGAATGCAGAGCTTGGTTTGCTTATCTACCTTCTCCCACTGGTGCTTTTCTTCTAGCTGCATGAACATATCCAAAATGTAAGTCATATGGGCAGGGCCACTTAGTTCCAGGATATCCTCGCTCACTGGCACATTCCTGGGCCACTCAGCAAGAAGGGAGGCCAACACATGGCGAGCATACAGGACAGCTGTGGCCTCATTCACACGAAAGAGGTAGTCGCGGACAGCCCTCTTACTCTTGCAGTTCAACTCTTTGTGGAGGAGGGCAGCACTCTTGCTCCGGCGCTGCTTGGCATAGCTCTGCTGAAGCTCACTCTCTGTGCTGGAGATCAGCTTCTGGGTCACAGGATTCAATTCAGCAGTGGCATGATCACAGCATGTGGGCCGGGACTGCAAAGTCAAGACCAGCATTACAGAGGCCTACCTTTCTTACAATGTGGGAGTGGATGTAGACACTTTGTTCCCAAGGTGGGTGACATACCAAGCATGGCAAGATGATCATGTCTGTGTCCACAGCTTTGGCGCTCTGCTCTTCCAGTCTCAGACTCTTACTGGGCTGCCACCTTTGCGCCAGAGAGCGGATCCTCTCATCTGTGGTGAGCTCATCTCCATCAAACCTGGAGGGAGGGAGGGAGAACAGTGGTGGGCACACAAAGTGGAACAAGTTTAAGCTGCAGACTTTTCAGAAATGTTAGCAGAGCTGCTTTCCTGTTATTACCCAGGGACACCATCACTCACTGTATTTTGAAAAATAGAGCATCCATTGTGGGCAGATATACCTTTGTGGCAAAGGATGTCCAATCTCCCTTTCTCTCTTAGGAGACACCATTGCCTAGCAAGAGACACAGTCCCTAGCCTCCTGGTAACTTGACATGTGAGGCAATAGGTTCTGGGTAACAAGAGATGAGGGAGGCGGTGTCCTACTTCCAGAACCTGCCCTCAAGCAAGTGTAGGAACAATGTGGTCTCCCTCCCACCCTTTCTTCCTCTGGCCTGGAACCCACAGGTGACGAGGGTGAGCTATGACTACACAGGTAAGAACACTGCACTTATTATTAGCTAATGGGTCACTGTATGGAGCAGAGCTGTTCGTGCTCTTGTGGACTGTGGCCTGCCTGTGGGCTGCTATGTGAGAGAACAACAGATCCCATCTGCCTCGGTCCATGGTATTTCTGGGTCTAAATGTCCCTTACCTCTTCTGAACCTCCAAGAAGAAAGAGTCGGTCTTTTTCATCTGCAGTTCATATATGGCCCGGAGGATGTGCAGAGGGGCATTGAGGGCATCATGAGCCATCTGAAGGCATGGGAGGAAGCAAAGGAGAAACAACTAGAAATGCCTAAACGTATTATTTATCATCTGAACTCAAAAGTGACCAAATAGTTTCAAGTTGCCACAGATAGTGCAAGAACATTAGGTAGATATTCTGAAAAAGCTTATCAAATGAAAAGCACGAAGGCACGAAGTTACTGGTAAAAGCTGTAGTACTACAACTTTAAAGGAGACTATAAAACACTGAAATACCAAAGGAAATTCTGTGCTAACAAAACACAACTGTTGGGCTGGGAAGTTGGCTCAGTGGTACAGTGCTTGCCTTGCATGCAAGAGGCCCTGGATTCAATTCCTCAGCACCACATAAGCAGAAAAAGCCAGAAGTGGCACTAGCCTTGAGCTGAAGAACTCAGGGACAGTTCCCAGGCCCAGAGTTCAGGCCCCACAACTGACAAAAAACAAAAAACAAAACAAAAAACCAAAAAAACCCCACAACTGTCACTGCACTGTACTCCATTAGCTTCTCTGCTGCATTTCATACCCAAGCTTGACAACTGGCACACAAATTTAAACGCTGTCCTTTCTTCTGAGTTTTTTGCTTTAGTTATTTTTCAGATATGGTCTTGTATTTTTGTCTGGGACCAGCCTCAGATCCTCAATCTTGGTCTCCCTCACAGCTGGGATTACAGGTGTACCCCATCAATCCCAGCTTATTTGTCGAGATGCAGTCTCCATAACTTTTGCCTTGGTTGACATTGAATTGTGATCCTCCTGATCTCTGCCTCCTGTAGCTATGATTATAAGTAGGAGTCACTCTTTCTGGCCTTTTTTTTAAATTTTAAAAAATGCTACTTGTGCGCTGGGAAGGTGGCTCAGTGGTAGAGCACTTGCCTTGCATGCATGAGGCCCTGGGTTGGATTCTTCAGCACCACATAAGAAAAAAGAAAAAAAGCCGGAAGTGGGGAAGTGGCGCTGTGGCTCAAGTGGTAGAGCACTAGCCTTGAGCTGAAGAGCTGAGGGCCAGAGTTCAGGCCCCACGACCAGACCCCCTCCCCCCCCAAAAAAAATGCTACCCTATTTTTCATGCAGCTAGATCCTTTAAAGTCTAGGCACTGTCCATTTCATATCATTCCAAATGACAGTAGCTAATCCAGGAAGGCAAGAGAATATTTCCAAGAAACCAAGGTAAGATTGTTATTTGGGGATTTCTGGAGGCATCTTAAGGTTTTAGTAAACCCTGGAAATTACATGCAGAATTTTATGTGACCATTTAAATGTGTACTGTGTGGGAGTGAGTATTGAAAGCTTTTGGGTACACCACTTGAAAATATGATGGAGCTTTTCTGTTCTTCTGGATCTATTCTGCACATAGCAGACTGCATCTTCAACAAGTGAGTCCTCAGAACATCATACTGAAAGAAGCATTCTGTTGCTAAGGTGCAGCATGGCCTAAGCCACTCCTTTGAAGCCTTGCCAACATACCAAGAAACATATTCTGGTGGGCTCATCAAGGCCTTCCAGAGGGTCTAGCTTTTTTTGCTCTGGTTCTCCAGGACTGCTGATTGGCCGGTCCACCTCTTCCTCTTGGTCTCCTCGCTCATCTAGCTCGAGGTCTCTGTGATCAGCCAGAGCGTTGATTTCCTTTTTTGAAGAGTACAGCATGATAGACAGAATCTACAGAGGGAGGCAATCAGGCAGGGCAGAGAGGTGAGCATTCAGTGACTGAATAGAAGATATAGATCTAAGAGTAAAAAATATTTTTTGCCTACTTTTAAAGACATCAGAATTCACATAAAGAACATAAAATGAATAGATATAGGAAAATATATTCAATTGTGCTTGTAATAGAAACAATGCTAAAAAAAACTACAGAGGCTCTGGAATTTATTAACTTTCTGACAATGTAAACTGATTATCATCCTTTTCAAACTCATTTTGGCAAAATTTTGAAGAAGAATATACTAAATAGTTCTATTCCAAGACATGGTCAATGAAGCATTTACATCAAAAGACATCAGTGTACCATTTTGAATCAGATGCAAAAAAAAATGGTGCATATTTGTATCAGAAGTAAAAAGGTTATGATAACTACTGAAAATGCCTAACATATAACCTTGATTGACTATTTGAATGATATGCTCAATTATGCACTATAAATGTATTACAGAGAAAATTAGAAGGAAATACATAAGATGCCAATAGCTGCTGTGTTTGTAAGTAAAATTTGAGATGTCTTAATTTTCTATTTTTGATATTTTCTGCAATGTGGTTCTATTATTTACATAATAAAAATAAGATGGTCTTTGTGTGTGTGTGTGTGTGTGTGTGTGTGTGTGTGTGTATGTGTGTGTGTGAGATATTCAGGTTTGAACTTAAGGTCTCAAGCTTTCTATCACTTGCGTTATGTCCCCAATTTGAAACACTCTAATTTAAAATATTCTCAAAGACTCAGAGTTTGCATGCTCTCCTGATAACCATTAGTATGTTTTATACCTAAGTGAACCCTCTGCTCTATTCAGAGCTGTTCTTCAAGGCTCCTGTGGGGCCATGCACCCACGGCCCCTGTGGCAATGGCCTCCCCTGTACCCGAAGCAGGTACTTGGCCTGGAAAGTCCATAGGAACCACAGGAAAAATCCTCTAAGAAAAATCTCAGGCCCTGGGGGATGGCAATAAAATTCTACTGAAATTCTACATAAATAAACATACATGAAGACAAATTTAGTAACTGATTTTAGCTCAAAGGAACTTTAAGGGGAAATAGTAATTCACGGGTTCATTTTATTACACATGATATAATGAATGTCAATTATGTGCTTTCATGAAATACTTCCCAAATATTCTTTGCACAAACACTCAAATCATTTTTCCTGGTGGGGAGGAGAGGTGTCAGAATCTTTAATTCTGGAAGGGAAGACAGAAGCAAGGTACAGTTTAAAAGCTGCACAGAATAGGAATGAGAACGCAGAGCCAGCTGGAAGGAGCTACACTTCAAGCTCCTCGGCTGGGAAAGCTGCCCTGGGTAGCAGTGGAAGGAGGTGGTGCCTTGTTCCTTACTTCCAGATCCCGGAGGAGCCATGTCTTGCTGAAGCCAGTCCCTTTGCTGCACTTTTTCACTAACAGCTTCAGCAGATCAGTCTGAAGAAAGGTTGCATGGATCTCTTCAAAACCATGAGCCTGACAAGTAGAATGAGAATAATTTGTAGCTGTCTGAGAGTAAAGAAGGTAAAGGCCAGCTGGAGAAAAGCAAGCCTTTCTCACAGCCCAGTCTCAGTTAATGGTTCAAGCTGACTTTCCAGCCAAAATTCTTGAGTCCGTAGGAAAACCAGAGTTCTTAATCTTAACCAGAACCTACAAGAGGCTCAGTCACTCTCATTTGTTCAGTCCACAAACATTTTTTAACACTACTTTCTTTCACTCCTCAGTCCTCTATCTTCTGAAAGCTTCCCAATGCTGTTGAGGCTAAAACTCCATCCTTGACTATGGATGATGACAAGGTCCCCCTCTCTGCTTCTCTGGCGCCATCCCTCAGCTGCCCTATCACCATGTTCTCAGGACTTTTCTTCTGTTCTGTGACAATCATATCTTGGAATTTGCTACTCTAACTTCTATTTGCTTGTTTACTTATTATTATTGTTATTATTAATTATTTTAATTTAGCAGCACTGATGTTTGAACTCAGGGCCTTACACTTGCTAGTCAAATGCTCTACCACTTGAGTTATGATTCCATATCTCTTTGCTTTTATTTTTTGAATAGGGTCTCACTTTTTGTGAGACTCTATTTATACTTCTTGTGTAGGTGGAAAAAGGAATGCACCATCATGCCCAATTTTTTATTGTTGAGATGGGGAAAGGGATGGGGTCTCACTAACTTTTTGCTTGGGCTGGCCTTGAACCATGATTCTCCTGATCTCTGCTCCTGAGTGGCTGGATTAAAGTTGTGAGCCACCATGTCCAGCTTGATTCATTATCTACCACCATTTTAGAAAGTTTTAACTCCTAGTAATCTTCTAGACAGCTCTCTCTCTGGCCATTGAGGCTGTAAGCTGCATGGGAGCAAGCATCTTTTTCTGGCTCATCACTAGGTATTCAGTTCCATCTGGCTACATGGGAGCAAGGACTTGCTTTCTGGTTCATTACTGAGTACTCAGCTCCATCTGGCTCTTGGTCCTCCACAAATATTAACTTAGTGAGGGTTTCTAAGATCTCTGCACTCAGGGAATTTATTTCTACTCTCCAACTATAATGTCAATGATGAAACAAATCTCACATTGACAAATAAACTAAACAAACAGCAGGTGAATGGTCTCAATCCTACAATGATATTCTCTCAGAGCTGGTCCATAGCCAACTCAAGTCTTCTTAAGTGTCTCTTGAGGTAAACCTCATAGACTCTTTTGAGTCCAGTGGTAACTAGGTTACCACTGAACATTTTTCAAAGTAAGGGACAACAAACCTCAGCTGAAGGGACAGAGCTGTTGGGAGGATGATCCTACAAGTGAACTGAAATGTGTAATTTTTAAAGATCCTCTCTATTATCAATGTCTCTTCAAGCACAGGAAGAAGTAATTATAATCAGGACTTCATTTCTCCATGCCAAATATCATCTAGCTCTTCAACTTGTCTGCCTCTTCCCACTCAACTTTAAGCATCCCTACTGCCTTAAAGCTCCATGGGATGCTAGCTCCTTTATTCTTGAGCCATAATGAGCTGCCATTTAGAGGGACAAATACAAAATCAAACTATTGAGAAATTTTATTTCCTCCTTTACTAAATAATGCTTGTACAAGGCTTCAATCATTTCTAAAACTAATCCAGATCCTATTGCTAACCATTCACCAAAATCAGATGGCATTTTTTTTGTTAATCTTTTTTACATGTCAAATCTCAGCCAGATTCATTACCAAATGGAAGAGGGTCACTATTACCTTTAGTGTTTTATATAAACCTTTGAGGGCCAGGGACAGAATCCACGTTGCTTCCACTGCCTCAGAGCAATGACTATCCATGCTGGTTTGCAGGAGGTGACTGGCAATAAAGGCGAAGTGCTGGGAATATTGGCTCAGCTGGGTCTCAGAGTCATTGCATTCTTGTCCTCCTCCCTTCTGAGTCAGCTGGTAGTCTTTCACTGTTGAGATGTCAGAGAGCAAGAAAGGTACAAAAAGTACAATTAATGCTTCCTGTAGTCAAGTTTCTTCCATAGTAGTGTGCATTACTGAATGCCCTCAGAAATATGAATCTCCTAGGCTCAATCATAGCCATTACATTTTAAGGTGAGCATAAAAATGGTACTGAGTGCTGTATCAGCTGAATTAGTAAGAAGGACAACTTATTTCCTACTACTGTGCACAAGTGAGTCATCTCCAAAGGTGTTCACATAAGTTCTTAAAAATAACACACCTAAGATGTCTGCCTCCAAACAAGACAGGGTAAGATGAACTAATGTAATCTCCTACCTTGAGCAACTAGAACAGGGGAAAAACATGGAATAATGGCATTCACACACAGGAAAATAGGAAGTGCAGGACTATGACTCCTGAAAGAAGACCCATAAATTAGCTCTCCAGTAACACCAGAAATCTAGAGAAAATTTCCAGGCTGGAAAGAGGGAATAAGACATTTAAGTAGAGTCTAGAAGTCTCAGTGAATTGGGGAAGTTCAAGAAAATTACAGCAGCTAGATTTTATGGGGCAGGATAGCACCAGAAGAAAGATGCAAACAAAGAGAGGTGGGTAAGAGAGAAATCTTTAGAGATGCATGGAAAGTTCCTTGTGAGTTCAAGGCTGTATATTAATCTGTACATATGTAATATGAAACTATTCAAGACAATAGAAACAACAAGAAAAACATTAAGCAGAACAAATTTTGGAGCTCATACAAACTGGGAATATTTTGTCTTCCCACTAGAGAAAGTGGCTTCCACTGTCCTGGTGAGGGCAGAAAACACCTGAAAACATAATGGTTGAAATGTATCCAATTTAATAAAATTACAAGCTCAACAAACTCAATAAATCTCCAAACAGAAAAAACATGAAGAAAATGTTAATCATAGAGATCAAATTAGAGGGCGATGGGACAGTAGGGAAACACCACAGCTCTCTCCAACCAAATAGAGAGTTCCAACGCTCAAAGTCAGAAGCTGAGCACATGTCTAGCAGAGGCAGGAAAGTAGGGAATTGCACCCTCTGGGAACTGCATCCATGATGGAAAAAGATCTATGTGTCCAGGGCAAGAGAACCAGAAGCCCAAATCCCACCAGAGTCTGACCTGTATATTCTGGGCTGGGGATTGGACAGCTCAGGCTGCTAGCACCTGATTATAGTCAGGAACTCATAGTGGACTCCAACAACTAGGAAAATACACCCAGCCTACCTGGTCTTGCCAAGGAGTGAGCAAGAGCAGTCTAGACTGCTCAGTGCTTGGAGGAAGGCGGGAACTGCCTGTGATCTCTAGCAGACAGCTGAGAGTCCTATGTGGGTTAGACTAGCAGCTGGAGGTTGGCCTCTCCCACAACAGAACTGAGACCAGGTACAGACTCTCTCAGCCAATCCAGGGCTGAGAGTGAGCTTCATCAATTGATCCAGGAACCAACCCAGAACCAAGCAAAGACAGCCACCGATTGACCAAAACAGTCAGAGTTTGGAATTAGTCTCCAATAATCCCTGAATCTCCATGTGCAAATCACAGCAGAAAATTACAAGATTTATCAATAGCCAGGATAGCAAGCCACTCCCAAAAGCCAGCAGCCACCCAGGAAGAGCCCCAGTGGAAACAAAACAGGAATGGAAGACAAACACTATATCCAAGAGATGTTGGAGGTAATGACTCAAGAATTAAAGCAAGAAATAGATCAGAAATTTAAAGAACAAAGAAACAAAATATCAAGAGATGCAGGATTTTAAACAGGAGATGCATTCAAAAATAGATGCAGTACACACCTCGCTAAGAAATGAGATTAATACTCTGAGAACCAACATAGAAGTTATATGGCTCAATTTCTTCCATGCAAATCACAATGGAAGCCATAGTTAACAGAGTGAATGAAATGGAAATTAGAATATCAGATATGGAAGACAATGCAGCAGCTGGAAAAAAAGTCACAGATATGGACAAATCACTTAAACTATGCCAAAGGGAAGTCCAAGAACAAGCAGGCCGTGCTAAGAAATTTAACCTTCAAGCCGGGCGCTGGTGGCTCACGCCAGTAATCCTAGCTATTCAGGAGGCTAAGATCTGAGGATTGCAGTTTACAGCCAGCCCAGGCAGGAAAGTCCGTGAGACTCTTATCTCCAATAAACCACTAGAACACCGGAAGTGGCGCTGTGGCTCAAGCAGTAGAAAGCTCGCCTTGAACTGAAGAGCGCAGGGACAGCGCCCAAGCCAAGAGTTCAAGCCCCACGACCAACCAAAAAAAAAAAATTTAACCTTTGTATAATTGGACAAAGGTGAGGAATATCAGAACAAGGGAATGCAACACCTATTCAATAAGATTTTCACCGAAAATTTCCCAATCTTAAAAGAGAACGTCTTATCTATATAACAGAAGCATACAGAACACCTAATAAGCAGGATCCCAGGAGGAACACTTCTAGGCACATTATAGTGAAAATGATAGATATGAATAATAAAGAAACAATCTTGCATGCAGCAAAAACAAAGAAGGAGCTATACTATAATGGGAAGAAAATAGAATCACTGCAGATCTCTCCACACAGATACTGAACGCAAGGAAAGCCTGGGAAAGTACCATACAAACCCTGAAAACCAATATCTGCCAACCCAGACTGTATACCCAGCAAAGCTAACATCCACATTTGATGGAGAAGCTAAAATTTTTAATAGTAAAGAAAAACTAAATGAATTCATAAACAATAAGCCAGAACTTCAAAGAATATTAAGAGGGGGAATACAGCATGAAGAAAACAATCAAGATCAGGGATCTGGGGATGGAAAGGTGGCTTAGTGGTAGAGTGCTTGCCTTGCATGCATGAGGCCCTGGTTTCAATTTCTCAGCACCACATAAGCAAAAAAAGCTGGAAGTGGTGCTGTGGCTCATGTGGTAGAGAGCTAGCCTTGAGCTGAAGAGCTGAGGGACAGCACCCAGGCCCAGAGTTCAGGCCCGACGACCAACCCCTCCCTCAAAAAAAAAGTTTCTGCAGACATGGCAACCAAACTAGAAAGACAGCCAACTAATTGGGAAAAAATATTTACCAGCAATATATCAGACAAGGACCTAATACTCAGTATATACAGGGAACTCAAGAAACTAATCCCTCCCAAACCTAACAAACCAATTACCAAATGGGCAAGGGAACTAAAGAGAGACTTCTCAGAAGAAGAGAGAAAAATGGCAAAGAAACACATGAGGAAATGTTCACCATCCCTGGTTGTAAAGGAAATGCAAATAAAAACAACACTGAGATACCACCTTGCCCCAGTCAGAATGGCCTGCATCCTAAACTCAGCTAATGACAAATGTTGGAGGGGATGCAGAGAAAGAGGAACCCTATTGCATTGCTGGTGGAAATGTACACTAATACAACCACTTTGGAAAGCAGTCTGGAGGTTCCTTAGAAAGCTAAATATAGACCTCCCCTATGACCCAGCCATATCCTAGGCATCTATCCTGAGCAACAGGAACCAGGATACAAGGACACATGTACCTCCATGTTCATTGCAGCACAGTTTACAAGATATGGAAACAACCCAGATGTCCCACTGCAGATGAATGGATCAAAAATCATGGTACCTATATATAATGGAACATTATGCAGCCATTAGAAAGGAAAAAATAATGGCATTCGCAGGGAAATGGGTGGAACTACAAAAAATCATTTTGAGATAAGCCAAGAGCAAAGAGACAAATGGCACATGGTATTCTTGATATGTCGATGTTAAATCAAAAACATAAGGAGATATGACAAAGTAAACAAGACTCAAGAAACAAAGCACCTCCACTCATCTGGTCATGACCTCATGCTGCTGACCACATATATGGTATGTATGTGCACATCTGAGGGAAACTAGGAGGAGGACACAGAAACAGGGAAATGGGAAAACATACAGCAGCGGGACCATCAGCTGCACTGGACGCTGATCAAAACGAACTAAGCAACTCAATGGCAGCAATGGGAGGGAGGGAAAGGGAATAGCTGACATCAAGCAAAAGGGAAGAATTGTACATATCATCCAATGTGGAAGAAATAGCTGTATTGTCAAAGCTTATAGAATTCACAAACTTTATAGACCACAATAAAGACAATTTGCCCTATGAACGTTAGAATGTGTTTGTGACTTAAGTATCACTATCTCACAAGACCATGAAATTTATGTAATCACTTAATCACAATTAAACAAAAAGTCAAATTAGGGGCTGGATATGTGGTTTAGTGGTAGAGTGCTTGCCTAGCATGCATGAAGCCCAATTACTTAGTACCATATAAATAGAAAAAGCCAGAAGTGGTGCTGTGGTTCAAATTGTAGAGTGCTAGCCTTGAGCAAAAGAAAGCTCAGGAACAGTGCCTAAGCCTTGAGTTCAAGCCCCAGGACTGGCAAAAAAAAAAAAAAAACAAGTCAAATTACTAAAGAGAAAAATCTAAAAGTAGCCAGAAAATGGCAATATGAAGATCAACAAAAATATAACAGCAGACTTCATGCTAGAAAATCTATGCCCATAAGAAAATAATTGATAAACATCTCTAAAGTATTCTAAGAAAAATTCGTAGCCTGAAAGTATTTTTACCCAACAAAATTATATTATTGTTACTATTTTATTGGTTGTGAGGCTTGAACTTGTGGCCTGGGCTCTGTCCCTGAGCTCTTTTGCTCAAGGCTAGTATTCTACCATTTTGAGCCACAGATCTACTTCCAGTTTTTGAGTAGTTAATTGGAGACAGAAGAGTCTTATGGGGACTTTTCTGCTTGGGCTGGCTTCAAACTATGATCCTCGGATCTCTGCCTCCTGAGTAGCTAGGGTTATAAGCATGAGCTACCGACACCCAGCTGAAGTTTTAGTTTTAAAATGAGGTAACAAAACACTTTATAGACAAATTGGAAGATTTTGTACCACAGAAATGCAAAGGAAAGCTTTATTGGCCAAAAAAAAAAAAAAAAAAGATACTAAATGGAAATTTGAATCTACAAAAATCAATAAAGAGCAATAGTAAATACATAGTTAAATATAAAACATTGGATTTTTTTCCATTTAAAAATATCTGACGGGGCTGGGAAGGTGGCTCAGTGGTAGAGCGCTTGCCTTGCATGCCTGAGGCCCTGGGTTCGATTCCTCAGCACCACATAAGCAAAAAGAAAAAAGCCGGAAGTGGCGCTGTGGCTCAAGTGGTAGAGCACTAGCCTTGAGCTGAAGAGCTGAGGGACAGTGCCCAGGCCCAGAGTTCAGGCCCCACGACTGGACCAAAAAAAAAAAAATCTGACATTTGGGGCTGGGAAGGTGGCACAATAGTAGAGTGCTTGCCTTTCATGCATAAGGCTCTGGGTTGGATTCCTCAGCATCACATAAGCAGAAAAAGCCCGAAGTTGCACTGTGGCTCAAGCGGTAGAGTACTAGCCTTGAGCTGAAGAGCTCAGGGACAGTGCCCAGGCCCAGAGTTCAAGCCCCACGACTGGCAAAAACAAACAAACAAACAAATAAAATAAGAAAAAGACCAGGCATTGGTGGTTCATACCTACAATCCTAGTAACTCAGGAGGCTAAGATCTGAAGACTGGGACCCAAAGCCAGTCCAAGTAAAAAAGTAACAAGCAAATAACTGCCAAAGTGAAACTCTGACTCAAGTTTCACAGTACCAGCTTTGAGTGAAAAACCTAAGTGAGAGCCCTCTGGCCCTGAGTTTAAGCCTCAATTAAAAAAAAAGAAAAAAGTAAGAAAGAACAATTTAAGAGCAAACATAAACAGAAAGACTAATAATGCCCAGGGAAGAAATCAACAAAACAGAAAATAGTAAGAAAAAAACCCAACGAACTCACAGGTGGTTCTTTGAAATAAATTAATAAATTTCTGGCTAGATTGTCTAGAAAACAAAACTAAGAAGACACAATTTATCGATTTAGGAATATGAGAAGACAGTTTATATCCTATGCCAGATGGAGAGAAATTAAGTTTACTCCCAAAATAAATGGAGAGATATATCATTGTTCAGGGATGAAAAGATTTAAGATTGTTAAGAGGTCAGTTCTTCTGATACTGATCAATACACTCAATACAATGTCAATCTAAATACTAGCAGTTTAACAGAAACAGCTGATTCTAAAATACATATAGAAAGGCAAAATAACTAAAAGAAGACAAAACAACTAAAAGAGTAGAGCAAATTGGAAGATCCGATTTTATTTATTTATTTATTGCCAGCCCTGGGGCTTAAACTCAGGGTCTGCACACTGTCCCTGCGCCTCTCCTGTGCTCAAGACTAGTGTTCTAGCATTTTACCACTTGAGCCACAGCATCATTTCTGGCTTTTTCTGTTTATGTGGTACTGAGGAATCGAACCCAGGGCTTCATGCCTGCTAGGCAAGCACTCTACCACTAAACCACATTCCCAGCTTGGAAGATCTGATTTTCAAACAGTATAAACCTAAAATAGTCAAGATTGTGTCCCATTTGAGTATGAATAGACATATAGCTTAGTAAAACATAATGAAATACATAAATTGGCATATACATAAATAAGTCAATTTTTAATAAAGGTGCCAAGATTATTCAACAGTGAGGAAAAAAATAGTGAGAAAAAAAAAAAGGGCACAGAAACAATACAGATAAGCAGAACTCAGAATATAATGGTTAAGATATCCTATGTTGGTTTTGGTTTGACAAAGTACTGGGGCAGTGAATGTGGAGGCTTAGTGGTAGAGTGCTTGCCTAGCATGCATGAAGCCCTGGGTTCGCTTCCTCAGTATCACATAGACAGAAAAAGCCGGAAATAGTGCTGTGGCTCAAATGTTAGAGTGCTAGCCTTGAGAAAAAGAAGCTCAGGGACAGTGCCCAGTCCCTGAGTTCAAGCTCCAGGACTGCAAAAAAAAAAAAAAAAAAAAAGTAGCACTTTCAGTGTTCTGCTGAAACAAAAATAGGAGATTGCACTAATGTCAAAAGAATTATTCTAAGAGTAGCTACCCAATTCCATGTTTAAATTACCCATAAGAAAATAACCAAAATTAACTAATGGAGGAATTATAAATTCAGATAAACAAAATAACAGCATGAAAACAGGCTTTCAAAATCATCCCAATTCAACCACATTATTTCAGAGACAAGGAAAAAGCTTAGGAAACTATAAACTTGCACTAAGGGGAAAAAAAAATCACTCGCAAGGGAAGAACCAAGATTTCCTCTATTGATTTTAGGGTAAGCAGGGAATAGACAATTTTCTTACATCCTTACAAAAATAATTATGTTTAATACCTGTTTTCCTTTTCCGAGTTTTGGCATCAACAATCACAGCCCTGTTCTTCTCAGTGAAATGTTTCAAGATGATAACATTATGGGTCTCATTGGCATTATCTATATAAACACAGCGAGTTCCCACACAGAGAACCTAGAACATGAAAGAGAAAGAAAAGGTAAGTCAATAGCACATGGAGATAGGACCCTTTGGTTTGGATTTCAAGAAATACTTAAGCATAGGGTTCTTTTCATCTCCTAAGTCAGTGTGTCCAGATTGGTATATGTCCTTGCTGGATGAAAACATGCTTCTATAGCCCCCTTTGTACCAATCTGATGAGAGGTATTATAAGATTAGAAAACAGATCAAGATGAATATCAAAGTGAAAGCCAATTGTTCTTTGAAGCTCTTTGTAATTGAGTAAGTTACTTACTTGTTATTCAAAATTAATTTCCACTAGCAAAATAAATCAAATGGTTAAATTGTTATACAACTTGAACAGCTAACAACACAATCTTGTAAATACACCAATACTGTGAAAGCGAATTATTCAAAAGTGAATTATTCAACTGAAGATTAAAAAGCTTCCAATGATTTTAACACACACACTCTCTCTCTTTTTCTCTCTCTCTTTCTCTCACAGAGGCTTAGACAAGCATGATTGAGATGGAAGAAGCCTTTGGGTGCTATACCTGAGGGAAGCCAACCAGAACCAGCAGGGTAAAGATGTTGGTATGCTTCAGCTGGAAAGGCAGCTGCTTGATGCAGTGGTCTGTGAAGGTAGCAATGACATCTTGCCAAAGTGGGGCATTATTGAGTGACCGCAGAATCTCTGCCATGGAACACGCCCAATCCAAGCCCACCCGGCTGAAAGGCAAGAGCTCTATTAGGTGGCATTGCACAAGACTCCAAACTCAGTTCAGTAGAACTCAATTCACTGCAAAGTCAGACCCAGACACTCATTAGATTAAGAAATACCAGAATGATGCTTTTCATATAAAGTGAAAAAAAGTCAAGCATAAGCTTATATGCTTAGTTTGCAACTGTTTTAAGCACGTAAAAAAGTCACCAAGAGCATGTGCATACTCTCACTCCCACCCAGAAAAAAGCTCAGGAAAAAAATATAGCAAATATAGTAAAGCACCAGATGTATCAATATGGTAAAAAGCAGGTGTTTTCCCCCACCCCCACTTCAGTTCTGCTTTCCAAATTAGTTATTCTTTCCCCACTCCCCAAGAATTTTGTTATGTATTTATTTGTGGTACTCGGGTTTAACATCAGGCTTGTTTGGCACATCCTCAGTCAATCTCCCAGCAATATTCTTCATTTGTTTGTTTATATGTTGTTCAGAGATTTAACTAAGGGTATCTCCTCAGGCTTGCTAGTCTCACCCTCAGGTTGCCTGTTAGTAAAGGTTTTTATTATTTTATTTATTTATGTTACTAAATTTTAACTTGGGGTTTCACCTCCGGCTTGCTAGGCAGAGGAACATCTACACATCCCAATTCTAAGGGATTATTTTTCTTTTTAAGGGACTATAGCACATTGCCTTGACTATATCTGCAAGACAAAACCAGTTACATTAACTTCCTTGAAGAGCTGCATTCCCATGCCCCATACTGTAAGAGACCTGTCCAAAGGTCAGCCAAGAACTCCACTGGGGGATAGACATGAGGCGTTCCCCAGCCCTGTTTTTTTTTTTTTTGAATGCCAATCTGGGCATTGTCCCTGAGCTTTTTGCTCTAGGCTAGCGCTCCTACCACTTGCAACCAGCTCCATGTCCAGCTTTTTTGGGTGCTAAATTGGAGATAAAATTCTCATGGACTTTCCTATCCACTCTGGCTTTGAGCTGCAATACTCCTAACTCAATTAGTTAGGATTACAAATGTCTGTGTTACTTTTATAATTAAAATAGATTTTCAACCACACATATACACTTTTCCTCTCAGAAAAAAAATCCAACAGAAATTATCATCAGATGGTTGAAATTCTAAACAGTAGTGAGGCTCTTAGCTATTTTGCATTGTCAGCATGCTAATAAAACAAGCTCTGCTCACAGAAGAATTTATACAATAGCACTAAAGCACAGTGAAGCACAGTAACAGCCAAAACCTCAATGAGCAAGTATCCTGGTAGGCAGACTGGAGGCTGGATGAGAATCAAGGTTACCTGTCCAGGCACACAGCTCCGAGGCTGAAAAGTAGATGAGTGGTCTTCCAACCATCTGGCACAATGGAACTGTCCCCTGCAGCAAACAGGTTGTGTTTGGCTGAAAGGACCTTGATCACTGCAGCATCTACCTCTGCTGGTAAAAGACGGATGATTAACTGGCCAAGAAGTCCCAGAGTGAGGTGGTAGGTTTCATTCAAGTGGCCTGCATTGGAGATGACAACCTGAAACATCAGTGGGAGGACATGCTCCAGGTCTATCAGGGGGAGTGTTGGACCCTGTCAAGAGAAAGGGGAAATCGCTTCAGTATAGAACAGTTACATGAGAAAAACACTCTATCCCCTTTGTGTATTATTAACAACTGTCCTAGTAACCAAAGAATTATGTGGTGGCTTTCATAAATGGCTTATGTGTGACATAATATATGTCTACTCATCTTACATGTCTATTCGTCTTACAATCTTACTTTTTTTTTTTCCTGGTTCTGGGGTTTGAACTCAGGACCTAGGCACTGTCCCTGAGCCTCTTTGTGCTCAAGACTAGTGCTCTACCACTTGAGCCACGGCACCACTTCCAGCTTTTGCTGAGTGGTTTATTGGAGATAAGTCTCATGGACTTTTCTGCCTAGGTTGGCTTTGGACAATGATCCTCAGATCTCAGCCTCCTGAGTCACGAAGATTACAGGCATGAGCCACTGATGCCTGGCTTTAGTCCTACTTTTAATTTCCTTTTAACTCTAAGATTCAAACAATTCAGAATACGCAAGAGTAAAAGCTCCCATAACCCCCTGTAATCAAACTGCTAACAGTATGATGGTTTTTCAACCTTTCTCTCTGCATATTTATATATATGCAAATACATACAAAAGAAATTAATTTTTTTTTTGTCAGTCGTGGGGCCTGAACTCTGGACCTGGGCACTGTCCCTCAGCTCTTCAGCTCAAGGTTAGCACTCTACCCCTTGAGCCACAGCACCACTTCTGGCTTTTTCTGCTTATGTGGTACTGAGGAATCAAACCCAGGACCTCATGCATGCAAGGCAAGCCTCAACCACTGAGCCACCTTCCCAGCCCAGAAATTAAAATTTTAAAATTAACTTTCTTTCTTTGAATAGTGTCCTACAAAAACTTTTTTTCATCTTTTTGAAAAAAGTTAGGAACACAGGAGATAGGACAGAGATTTGACAAGTGGGATCACATCAAAATAAGTTTCTGGGGCTGGGAAGGTGGCTCAGTGGTAGAGCGCTAGCCTTGCATGCATGAGGCCCTTGGTTCGATTCCTCAGTACCACATAAGCAGAAAAAGCTGGAAGTGGGGCTGAGGCTCAAGTGGTAGAGTGCTCACCTTGAGCTGAAGAGCTGAGTGACAGCGCCCAGGCCCAGAGTTCAGGCCCCACAACCGACCAAAAAAAAAAAAAAAAAAAAAAAAAAGAGAATGGCAAATAAACATATGAGAAAATGTTCAACATCCTTAGTCATAAAGGAAATACAAATCACAACAACTGTGAGATTTCATTTCACTCCAGTTAGATTGGCCAACATAGAAATTTCAAATGACAACAAATGCTAGTAGGGATGTGGGGAAAAAAGAAAGGGTAATCTACTACAACCAACTCTGGATGGTTGTTTGGAGGTTCCTCAAAAGACAACATAGAATTTCCTTCTGACCCAGTCATACCATTCTTGGGCATCTACCTAGAACATAATTAAGTCAGGATGCCATAAGGTAACTTACATATCCATACTCACTGCTGCATCATTCACAATACCCAAATCATGCAAGCAGTCCAGATGTCCCACAATAGATGTATCCAAAAAATGTGGGACCTATACACAATAGAATTTTACTTGTCCATTAGAAAGAATAATATTCGGGGCTGGGAAGGTGGCTCAGTGGTAGAGCACTTGCCTTGCATGCCTGGGGCCCTGGGTTCGATTCCTCAGCACCACATAAGTAAAAAGAAAAAAGCCAGAAGTGGCACTGTGGCTCAAGTGGTAGAGCACTAGCCTTGAGCTCAAGAGCTGAGGGATAGCGCCTAGGCCCAGAGTTAGGCCCAGAGTTCAGGCTCCACGACCAGACCAAAAAAAAAAAAAAGAAAGAATAATATTCATTTGCAGGGAAATGGATAGACCTAGAAAAATCATGTTAAGTGAGGTAAGTCAAGTTCAGAGAGACAAAATATGCTTACTTTTTCTCACAGGTGGAAGCTAGATTGAAAATACACCAGGACATGATAAATCTAAGCATTTACAAACAGTGAGACTAAAGGAAGATACTCTTAGGGGAGGACCCAGAGGTGTTAACTCCTCTGTATATTTAAAATACTACTCATCAAAATGAATTCTAGGAAATGAAAACATGGGGTTTTGTTGTTGTTGTTGTTGGTGTTTGTTTTTGCCTTTTGTTTTATCGTTTTTCTATCTTTTTTGGGAGGTAAGGGGGAACACAGAAATGGAAGAAGGAAGGATCAACAAATGCAGGCATGGTACTCAGTATACACTATGTGGAAAATGAACTATGCAACTTATAGGCAGGGACAGGAGGGAGAAACTGGGGAAAAGCAAAGGAAAGGGTAAAATTGTCCAAAAAGAAATGTATTTATTACCTGACTTATGAAATGGTACCTCCCCATAATACCTTAATGGTAACAATAAAATTTGTTTCCAATAATTATAAAAACCACATAGACAAACAGCCCAGTACATACTTAAGCCACTTCTTTTCTTTTTCTTTTTTCTTTCTTTCTTTTTTTTTTTTGGTGACAGTCCTGGTGTTGAACTCAGGGCCTGAGTGCTGTCCCTGAGCTGTTTTTTTGTTTTTGTTTTTTTTTTTAATAAAAAATCAAGGATGGCACTCTACCACCGAGCCACAGCTCTACTTCCAGCTTTTTTGGAGATAAAAGTCTCATTGACTTTTCTTCTTGGGCTAGCTTTCAACTATGATCCTCAGGTCTCAGCCACCTAAGTAGCTAGGATTACAGATGTGAGCTACCAGCGGCCTGATTTATTATTTTCCATAGGAGAAAAAACACACACAAAACTGGAGGAAAATCTATGAAAATTATAAAGTTTTATCCTCAGTGGGACTCAAGCAGATGTGGTATCAACAATATGAAAACAAAGCAACTGAAAAATTAAAAAGTTCAAAAAAAAATTAAAAAGCTCTTAGAAATGGAAAAACTAGTCTCAGATGGCATTCCTGAAAGACAAAGGTTTTCATCATGGGCTGCTGTGCTATGGACTACCCTAAGCAGGGGAAAATGTCTCCATATTAACTACTAAGGATTAAATGTCAATAATCATTTCAACTTCTTTTCCAAATTGCAGCAAAAATATAACAGTTATATAAACAGAGATAAATCAACATGAATAAATGGGAAATTTAGGTGAAAATCTTCATTAGTCTTTCAAGTTTTCTATGAGCTTAAAAATTTTCCAAATAAAAAAATGGAAAATATAATTATGATAAAAACAATAAATCATACATGTACTTACAAAATATGGAGTAAAGTCTAAGAGAAAATAACTTTATAGTCCTATTCTCAGGGATAATTGCTGACTAACGGCAAATTTATTTCGGTATACAGCTTTGTAACATTTTTTTTTTTCCATGCATAACAACATCCTCTCTTTTATAAAGAAAATGCTGTTATCTCTTACCAACTTTGCTGGAGGTAACATGGCTGCTAGCAGTCCTAAAATCCTCTTCTGGGAACACTCAGCAAACACTTGCTCAGGATTTGGATTAACTGCTTTTTCCTCTATTGGCTTCTGAGATGACGATTCTGAAATTTCAGCATCTGTGTGACAAAACACCAAGTTTTCAGATTTCCCAGTTTCTATATATGCATAAAGAAACAAACCACTGCACTGTCCCACTGTGGTTAAGAATAAAGCTAGGACTTTATTTAAAATCTGCTCAAAGGCTGGGTGCCCGTGGCTCATGCCTATAATTCTAGCTTCTCAGGATGCTGAGATCTGAGGATTGAGGTTCAGAGCCAGCCCAGGCAGGAAAAGTCTGTGAGACTCTTATCTCCAATAAACTACTCAGAAAACTGGAAATGGAGCTGTGGCTCAAGTGGTAGAGAGCTAGCCCTGAGCTGAAGAGCTGAGGGACAGCGCCCAGGCCCAGGCCCCACGACTGACTAAAAACAAAACCAAACAAAAAAATCTGCTCAAGTTGTACACGGTAATACATGCCTATAAACTCAAGAAGCTGAGGCAGGAAGATTATGAAATTGAGACCAGTTAGAACTGCATAGTGAAACTTTGTCTCACACCAAAAAAATACTGAACACATCTTTGTGCAACATCCCATTCTAAAGGAAGCCTGTCAGTGGCTCTATTTGAGGGTAATTCTCTCCGAAACCTTCCCATTCTTCTGGCCTTCTTGTAAAATTAGATGCTCACTAGCATTTAACATCTTGTATATTTGTATTTATTGTTTGTTTTTGCTTCTTTCAGTGATGTATCTGCAGCACCCAGCAATGTCTCTGGAACATGGAGGTACCTGATACGACAGTGTGAACTGGAATACTGGTCCTTAGGGGAATCCAACTCTGGTAGACTTTGACGACTGGGCACTGATATACAGAATCAGCACATTCTGAGAACTTAACTCACAGATGGGGCTCAAAGCCAGGTGCTTACTCCCACCTCCATCACAGAACAGCCAATAGCACAAATGTTCTCTCCTTGGGCTACCACAGGGTGAAGCTTGCTGGCCCAGTCTCATCAGCCTGTAGTACCTCCTTCAGCCTCCAAACTGCTCCTCTATCCTCCAAAATCCCCATCCTGATGGTCTATTTCTATCCTCTGCCAGGCTGAGAGGTTGGAATTTCCCAGGCAGACAGCTTGGGCTATGACAACAAAGTCCTTCATAGCAGCAGTATTCCATCTTCTTATATTCTGCTCCATTGCTACATACTTGCCAAAAAGGTTTCTCTCCTGTATTGTTCTGGGGCTTTTGCTCATTGTGCACTTTTTGCCCTGAATGTAGGTTTTTCCACAAGAGTCTAGCATATTCACCTCCCCACATCTCTCCCTTTATATGTTTTAAGTGAACACAGTATGTTCCAGAGAATTACCAATCACAGTTAACTCCTATGTAGTTCTCTCCTCTGAGCAGAATCACATCCTACCTCAAGTGACAGTTACCTGTACCTTAGTCTTAAACTTCAGTAGACAGGGACCATGTCTGTCTGCCGGTGTCAGTCCTTATTTCAACCAAGGGCCTAGCATGGTTTTTGGTACATAGAAGGCACTCAGTAAGGGGCTGGGAAGGTGGCTCAGTAGTAGAGCTCTTGCCTTGCATGCCTGAGGCCCTGGGTTCAATTCCTCAGCACCACATAAGCAAAAGAAAAAAAGCCGGAAGTGGTGCTGTGGCTCAACTGGTAGAGCATTAGCCTTGAGCTGAAGAGCTGAGGGACAGCGCCCAGGCCGAGAGTTGAGGCCTCACTACCGGACCCAAAAAAAAAAAAAAAAGAAGGCATTCAGTAAATAAATAAGGTGGGAAAGAAAGAAAGGAAAGATGACTTTCGAAGTGTTGTAAAACCCCATCTGATCAAAGAGAACTTGGCTGCCAGACAATTCCAAACTGAGGGCAAAATAAACTGACTGGAAATGAGTATGCGAGCATTTTAAGAGATCTGGGCCAAATATTCTTTACCTGGTGGTCCTGGAGGTGTATGAGCATCTGTAGGTACATCTGAAATTTGGATCTGGCATGAGGAATCCTTCATTAATAAGAGACTTGCCTTCTTTCTATGTCTGGAATCCAAAGGTCTGATTTCCTTCTCTACAGCTCTCTTTCCCTAAATATAAGATGGTAAATGTAAAAGAAAATAAAAGTTTTTTTTTTACAATGAAAGTTTATTCCATTTGTAACACAATTTTGCCACATCTTCACAAACCATGAATACTCCAAATTTCATTAGAAAAATGTCAATCAATTCTTCGGATAAATCTGTACTACAATGTAATAGAATCATGTCCCCTCAAACACTCTTTTGAATGTCTGCCTCTCTGTCACAGTCTGCAGTTACATAAGCAAGGCGCACTTATAAATACATTTAACTTTTAGAAGTTTTAAAAAGTTCTTCCCTGAGAAAATAAAGAAAAAATTGTCAATTCTCCTCTAGTACACTATCGTGACCATCACTGATGTTTTCTTTTTTCAGAGAAAATAAACATTTCATTTAAAAAGTGTACATATATTATCTTTATTGTTATTATGAAGTTAATAAATCAGATCTAAAGCTTGGATGCAGATTATTTTGTTGATATAGAAATGACATTCTAAGGCTCTGTGACAGGGTTGAAGACTGTCTCTTTCCACTTTAGTTTGCTATAGAAGTTGCCTTTGTTAATATGGAATGCTTCAGGGGCTGGGAAGGTGGCTCAGTGGTAGAGTGCTTGCTTTGCATGCATGAGGCCCTCAGTTCGACTCCTCAGCACCACATAAGCAGAAAAAGCTGGAAGTGGCACTGTGACTAATGGTAGAACACTAGTCTTGAACTGAAGAGCTCAGGGACAGTACCCAGGCCTAGAATTCAGGCCCCATCACACACACACACACACACACACACACACACACACACACACGCACGCACGCACGCACGCACGCACGCACGGAAGGCTTCATAAATTTATTTAACAATAAACAAGTTTAATAATAAATAAATTTAACCAGATATCACTTGAGCACACAAAACCAGATAATATTCCCAAATCACAAATGCATACGTTCTTTTTAGTACTCTTCCCATCAACAGCTAACATACCTTCCTTTCTGGATACCATTACCTGGACATCAGCCCTACCTTCCTGTACATTCCCTACCATCTGTGGCACTCTGTAAAGATAGTAGAATTCCAAACTTCTGGTGAATAACTTTTATCTTAATCTTTTTTCCTGTTGTCACAGGACTACAAAGGGCTACTGCAGTTCTCTCTGCAGTACTCTAAGGCCTCATTATTGGTCTGAGTCTGAGGCTGTTGTAAGCAGGGTCCTCTGCCTAAGGTTGGTTTCTCAGTTATTTAGAAAGTTTCCAAGTCAATAGGATAGACAGAGTAGATTTTTTTTTTTTTGGTCGGTTGTGGGGCTTGAACTCTGGGCCTGCGTGCGTGCTGTCCCTTAGCTCTTCAGCTCTAGGCAAATACTCTACCTCGTGAGCCAATAGCGCCACTTCCGGTTTTCTGAGTGGTTTATTGGATAAGTGTCTCAAAGACTTTTCCTGCCTGAGCTGGTTTTGAACCATGATCCTCAGATCTCAGCCTCCTGAGTAGCTAGGATTATAGGCATGAGCCACGGGAGCTCAGCTCAGAGTAGATATTCTTAACAGGCTCTAAGATTGGCTAGAAGCATGTCAGAGTTAAAAAACAAGTCTTGTGCATGCCTAGAATCCCAACATTTGGAAGGCTAAGGCAAATCCTGAGTTCAAGGCCAGCCTGGACTACTACACAGCAAGAACCTGCCTCAAAATCAAACAACAAACACAAGTGATTTGTTCTTAGGATTTCAAAGCAGTGTGATTCTTAGGACCATTACAGTGGTAAATCTTAGGTTCTGTTATAGAAATAGTAAGGGAAAATATGGTTTTGCTAAAAGATTTTAAGGTCGGACATTCTGGGTATGTCTAGCTGCTAGTGGAAAGGATTTCAAAAAAGGGCTAGCTCGAGAACAATAATGCTCAGGGACCTCCTTTAAAAAAAAAATCAAAAAGAAAAAAAAAAAGACAACCCCCCGCCCCCCCTCAAAAAAAAAAACACACCTCATTTTAAACACCAGGCAGGGAAAGCCTAAGATTAACCTGAAATGTCTTGCTACAACAGAAATCAAGGAAGTGTTCATATAATGGTGACATGTCAAAGGGATACAAAAACCAGCTAGAAGGAGTTGCTACTAGCCAAATATAGGGCACTTTGAGCATGCATAAAGATAAATAAGAAAATGAGAGAAGTGGCACTGTGGCTCAAGTGGTAGAGCACTCGCCTTGAGCTGAAGAGCGCACAGACAGCGCCCAAGCTCAGAGTTCAAGCCCCACGACCGACAAAAAAAAAAAAAGAGGAGATTTAATTCACTGAATAAAAATAGAATCACTGAGCCTATTCTGATATAAAAAAATGAACTGATATAGATAAATAAACTGACAGTTCTGAGATATACATGTTTCCAGAGGCATATTTCAGGGATGTTGACTTCATCTGTTTCTCCTAAATACATTCTCTTCCCCATCATAAGGGAAGTTAAAGGGCTTCCTGGTGCAGGGGTGTGTGGGCCTCCAGTATGATAGCTTAGAGAAAGGCTGAAAGATTACATGCTGTCTTTTGCTGGCTCCATGGTGGCATGAAGCTAATTTTCACACTTCTGCCTGGCACTTTTTCTTGTCTTCTATATAACAATGGGATCCCTGTGAGCTATCACTAGTACCTGAAGAATCCTTACACTAGGGCCCTGATAAAGCAGGGGATGGAGACATCCATGGCTCCTGCAGCAAAGGCAGAGACATGAATAGCATGGCTTCAAACTTTGGAAACAGCATCATATCACAGAAGCAATCTATGTTCTTCTAGCAAAAAAAGGTTTGTCCTTTTCTGTTTATTTTTATTTTATATCTATAAAACAATCTTTAAGGGGCTGGAGTGCTTTAAGTGGTAGAGTGCTTGCCTCACATGTATGAGGCCCTGGGTTCCATTCTTCAGCACCACATAAGCAGAAAAAGCCTGAAGTGGTGCTGTGGCTCAAGTGGTAGAGTGCTAGCCTTGAGCTGAAGAGCTGAGGGACAGTACCCAGGTCCAGAGTTCAGGCCCCATGACCAACAAAAAACAAAACAAAAACAAAAACAATCTTTAAAAGTCACTATTATAGGTTAAGCCTGTACCCATATATAAACTATGATGTTTAATTTTTAAACCATAAGCTTCTGGTATTACCTAGTTGTTGACTGAATTATAAACATAAATCCATGTATATATTGCTCATCAAGGGCTAGAACTAACTTCTCTAATGGCATACTCTTATTCAGTTCTTATAAAAACCACCAGATAATGGGAGTAGTTAACACTGGCAAAGAATTCACTATGTTTACATGGCCTAATCACTTGATATGTATTATCTTAAAGTGTGGAAAGTATGTAACTCCTTACAAAAACCCTTTGTTACAGGTTTTGTTATTATCACCCCCATTTTGCAGATAAGAAAAATGGAGGCAAGGAGACCATAGGAATACACTTGAGGTCTGACAAAGCAGACCTCTAAACCCCATGCCTGAAACCTGGTGGAGGGTATGAGCCCTTAATCTCTCTGCTATGGAGCCTATTGTGAATGGCTTCCCAAGCCTATTGATCCTGCATAGTAAAGACATGCTATCTAGGGGCTGCGAGTATAGCCTAGTGGCAGAGTGCTTGCCTAACATGCATGAAGCCCTGGGTTCAATTCCTCAGTACCACATAAACAGAAAAAGCCAGAAGAGGTGCTGTGGCTCAAGTGTTAGAGTGTTAGCCTTGAACAAAAAGAAGCTTAGGGACAGTGCCCAGGCCCTGAATTCAAGAGCCAGGACTGGCAAAAAAAAAAAAAAGAAAGAAATGATATTTACATTGCACTGCACTAATGAGCCTGTCTCTGACAGCTGCTGAGTGGGATGGACAGTTTTCTTCTCTAGCTGCTCCTCTGATGTCGGCGTTGACACTGTGATTGGCAAAGCCTGGTGTTCTGGAGTAGAGTCACCATCTGGCAGTATACCAAGAAGAGCTAGAGTTTTAAGACCTACAATGGAAGAGAATGATTAAAGTTTATATCTCTAGAATGCAGAAAGAAAATTATATCATATATATGATATGATATATACACACATATAAATACCATGGAATATTACACAATCATAACAAAAAGTGAAATAATGTAATTTACAGGATAATGGATGTAAATGGAGAACATCAAACTGAGCAAGATAAGACAAGCTCAAAAAACAAGTATATGTTTTCACTTATATGTGGAAGCTAGACCTAAAAGATACACATTTTCATGGACATGTACATACTTATATATCTAGTTATATAACTATGCACAAAGATAAACACAAAACATGAATCTAAATAACAAGATTACTTAGGGATAGAAAGGGGGAAAGAAAAAAAGGAAAGCAGAGTGTGAATAGTTTTGAAATACATTTTGAAAGGGGATGAAAATGCTTGAAAAAGATTTCAACTACTAAAATAGAACAAGGAAATCTGTTCTAATTGTTTCAGAAAAAGGGAAAGAGCAAATGATAAAGGGATGAGATTGACTGGAACACACTGTAAATGTGTGGAAAGGTTACAATGAAATACTCTTCTGGATAATATAAGCTAATAAAAATGCTAAAAAAGTTAGCTGCAATAAGCGCCATAAATCACTATGCCATATACAGAGATGGCAAAGGGCTACATTAACCATAGCCAGAAGTGTTCAGTAGTAACATCCCTTGTCATCTATATCCATTCAGTTATTGCTATGGATGATAAAAACCAAACAGAAAAGGGTACCTGAACTTTACTAAAAACAGAGCACAAAAGACACCTAAAAGAAAGCCAACATTGGTGACTCATGCCTATAATCCCAGCTAGTCAGGAGTCTTTGATCTGAGAGTTATGATTCAAAGCAAGCCCAGTTAAGAGTCTATGAGCCTCTTATTTCTAATTAGCCACTAAAAAAGCCAGGAGTGGAATTATGGCTCAGGTAGTAGAGTGCTCACCTTGAGCACCTAAGGCCCTGAATTCAAGCCACAGGACTGGTAAAACAAAACAAAATCAAACCACATAGACTATTTGGAAACTATAAACAATGTACTTCTATGGTAGCATCACACACTAGCATTCTAAATACCACTGGCAGACAGATATTTTTTTTAAAAAAATCACTCTGATGTACTAATATCCACCTGCTATTAAGGTCTGATTCCCTAATGTTAACTAAAATGACAGTACATTACTTAAGAGAAATGTCTCAGAAGTTTAGTTTTGAAACTATTTTTTTCCGTAGCACCTTCAGTGAAACAAAATCACTTAGTTTTTGTAAAAACTATTTTTCTTTTCCTTCTCTTACTATTTTTTATTAAGTAGCTATACACAGGGGTTTCAACCTGTTTTCTTTTGGTCCTGTGTCAAAAGAAAACATCAGACTGGCATTGAACATGTGATTCTCTTGCCTCTCAGCCTCTGGGATGTTGGGATTACAGATGTGCAACACCAAAGCCTGCCAAATTACTTTATAGATAGCTCTTATCCGGCATATGGAAATAGATTTGCCCTCTAGGTTAACAATATATATCTGGCTTTCCTAAGCAAAGTTACGAACATTCAACTACTAAATATTCTACCCACAGACTTCAAGAACTCTACTTATTATTTTTGTAACAGCATGTAAACATTTTAAGAAACTAAATGTTACTTTATACCAATAGTTCTCTCAACTGAGCTTGAGACTTAAATTCCAGGCTGGGGTGAATCCCTCTTGTAGGCCACAAGACTCTGCTGCTTCTGAGCCTAGCATCGTCTTTCACTGATGCCTGGGCTTTGCCTCCACCACTAGCTGGGGTGTGGTCTGTGCATGAGGAACAGTCACCTTTGCCCTGGTGAGCCTTCATCAGACAGTCCCCGACCAGCTGCATGCACTGGCTCCGAAGGATGGCGGCACTGCTGCGGGCCTGAGGACCCAGTTTCTCCCCATCCATGTCCTCTGTGCTGGTCACATGGGCACTATAGAGAGCCAAGGCAGCAAAGAGCAGCCAGGAGTAGTTGTGGATATATGGCTGGATGAGCCTCTGGCGGTCACTGATCCGGATGGTCACCATGGGGTGGGCTGTGATGCTATGGGTAGGCAAATGGCTGCAAAGGCAAGACATTATTATGCATTTGTGACTCCAAACAGGAGCCCAGGCTTGGCTGTGACTGAACATTAATACCTCTAGATTATTGGTATTGAAATTTTAAGGGGAGATACAGGCTTGCACCTCAGAAAAAAAGAACCAAGACTATCATACAATTTCTGGATTTTACAACCCCCTAAAAAACTGCCTGTGGAAATCAGGCTAAGTAAAAACTCCTTATTGTGAATTTTGCAGATGTGGAAATAGTGTTTTGGTAATATGAGATAATGCTCATAACTTAGAGGTAAATATAAAGTACATAGCAAAAAATGATGTAAGATATTCAATTTGTTTAAAATCCTTTAACAAGCTGGGTGTAGCAGCACAAGCTTGTAATCCCAGCACATGGGAGACTAGGGTGAAAGGATTATGTTCTTGGAAGGCTCAAGCGGAGGATTGTGAGTTCAAGGTTGGACTGGGCAACATTATGAGAACTTCTCTTAAAAAAACAAAGCAAAACAAAAAAACTTTATGGGGGAAAAAGACTCAAACTTAAGAACATATAACAAAATCTCCCTAATTGCTGAATCTGGGTAGTGGGTATATAAAGGTTCACTACAGTGAACTAGTCTCTCTAGTTTTGGCTAGGTTTAAATTTTTTTTAATAACAAAAACTTTCTTTAATAAAGGGAGGGCTTAGTGTATAACTAAGTGGTAGAATACATGTGTAGCATGTGAGGTCCTGGGTTTGATTCTCATCACTGGGGAAAAAAAAGAAATCACAGAGCTTATTTTTTTTTTAATAAAAAAAATTTTTTTGCAATATTTGGTATTTGAACCCAGGGCTTCATGCTTGCTGAACTCTTCCATTTGAGTCATATCCCCAGATCTCTTTAGTTTTTCTCACATCTTTTGCTGGAGGTGGGCCTCATACTATGATCTTCCTACCTAAGCCTCTTACATAACTGTGATCACAGATGTGTACCATGATACCTAGCTTATTGTTGGAGATGGAATCTCATTAGCTTTTTGCCCGAGTTAGCCTCAAATCATGATCCTCTTGATCTGTCTCCTGAGTAAATGGGACTATAGACCTCATGTGACCATGAGTGGCCTAATACTAAAGTTCGTATTATTTGTTGGTTCTTGCCTCTTGAAAACAAGGACTTTCTTTTTGGTTCACTGTTCTATCTTCTAGCTCCTTGTCCCAAGCCTGGTATACAGAAGATATTAGATGAATAGTTGTATGAATGAATGATTCAGGATTTGTATTGCAGGAGTCAATGTCCCTGGCTATTCTCTAATTTGTGAGACTCTGGTCTGAGGCCTGCTTCCCCCAAATTCCAGGCTTCTGGAAGAAGTATGGGGCAGCTTCGATCATATTTGCATGTTAAACACAATTTCCCACTAGCAACTGTGCAGTTGGGGTACGTGGATTATAGGAGACCTCAGAAAAAGTGAACTGACAGTGGAGGCCAGAACTTGGCTTTTTAAAAACATCTAGTGCATGTGCGTGCGTGCGTGTGTGTGCACATATGTGTGCTGGTCATGGGGTTTGAATTCAGGGCCTGGGCTTGCTTTCTTTTCTTTTCCTTCCTTGCTTCCTTCCTTCCTTTCTTTTCTTTTGCCATGGGGCTTGAACTATGGGCCTGGGGCACTGTCTCTGAGCTCCTTTTGCTCAAGGCTACCTAGCCCTCTATCACTTGAGCCACAGCACCACTTCTGGCTTTTTCTTGAGTAACTGAGGTAAGAGTCTCATGGACTTTCCTGCCTGGGCTGGCTTTGAACCATGATCTTCAGATCTCATCCTCCTTCAGTAGCTAGGATTGTAGTTGTGAGCCACCAGCACCCGGCATAGGCCTGGGCTTTTTTGCTCAAAGCACGTACTCTACCACTTGAGCCATAGTTCTAGTTTTTTTTGGAATTAAGAGTCTCATGGACTTTCCTGCCAGGTCTGGCTTCTAACCATGATCCTCAGATCTCAGCCTCCAGAGTAGTTAGGATTACAGGCATGAGCCACTGGAGCCTAAACAGCAGGCTTCTTATTAAGCAAAGATATACATCAAGAAGATGTGAAGTGTGTACAAGTCATCTGAGACATACCCATAGGAATATTTCTTTGCTGCATAGCATCCATAACAAAGATCAAAGTCATCACAGACATTGCAGTTCATTCTTCGGCCTATGATCAAACCCTGGCAGTGGTCACAGGTAAACTCCATGTTGACCATTTCATGGTCATCTCCATGGCCTTCAGGCTTCACTCCACCTAGACAGAAAAGAGCAGTGTGAAGTGGATAGAACAGAGTGCTTGGAGAAGGGCCAAAAAAACCAATCCAAGCACTACAGCTGCTCCCCATCTATTGTTCAGGAGGGAAGAGTCCACACACATCTTCTGGAGACCAGTTAGCTCTGTCCTGATAACTGAGTGCACAAATGATATTTTCACGAAATGATAACCCCTCTGTATAACAACTTACTAATAACAATAAAATTATTTAAAAAATTATATTCTCAGTACAGAGCTGCTGGACAATGGCATACTGCAAAAATCAATTCCTAGCATGATTGCTGTTTGGCAGACACAAGCCCACAGGTAGATTTGTGAGATTTCTCCCATGACCCTCTTTTGACAAGAGTTAAGCATCTGTTGGTGCCTCTGCTAGCAAGCACTGCAGAATGATCAGAAGACAATGTGACCAGTGAATTAAAGGCACGAGACAGGCTGCTCTTGCCTATTCCTTACTCCATGGCATCTCCAACCTGATTTGAACTTTGCTTTATACGTCATATTTTATCACCTCTGTTCTCACTACCACGAACCTGGTCCTAACTCCAATGCCTTTGTGATTATAGAGACCGATTTCCTAAGTGAGACTGACACAGATATGCTTTCCTCCTTGAGACCTTGTTAATGACTCCCCCATTTTCTGCAGACTTCAAATGACTAAACCTAGCATCTTAGGGTCTCATAACTTGAGCTCTGCCTGTCTTAATCCATCACTTAGTTGGACAGTCACTCAAGTGTGTCTATCTAAATTCCTTCTAGATGCTCACCTCTGTCCTTGGGCTTGTTCTACCTTCTGTAGCATTTAGTTCATAACACCTGACTGTAACTTTCTTCAAAAACCAGTTTTTATCCCATCTCCTCCACGATAGGAATATTATAGAAGTGCTGCTATACTACCAAATTTTTCTAGAAAAAGTCTGCACTATTTATTTATTACTCAACACATCACTCTTATACTAACAGTACTTCAGGGCAGGGGCTGTATCTTTTACTATAGGGCCAACAGACAAGAAGCCCCAGTGTTCACCATGGTCAGTGTACTTTTTTCAGTACATGCAAGTCAAATGTACTAAAGAATTTTTGAAGTTTACATATATACACATATACATACATATATGTGTGTATGTATTTTTTTATTTGAAGTCAATAAATTTTTATTTAATCATTTTTACATGCTGTGACTCCTTCACTGCCCATCAAACTGAAGCTCAACATTTCTCTTGAAATCTAAGGCAGCCCTTTTGGAAGCAAACAATTCAAGCCAGCAGTACCACTGCTCAGGAGGCCAAAATCTAGTCGCTATGTTCAAATGACCAACAAAAAGCTGAAACTCTGATCAGCCCTGCCACAAATCTTTTATTAGGGCTTCTTTTAGCGCTATTACAGAATTACTGATGACACATCTAAAATCTTTGAAATGTCATTCTGCAAGCAAATTTTGAGATCACTTTTTAAGTCCAACAGCTTGATTCAACTGCTGACTGCCCACCTAGAGAAAGAAAAGCATTTGCTGAGAAGATCATTTATTCTAGGTATTATCAATATGAATCATCAAACTGTATATATTGGATCAATAGAAATACCAGGTTTAGAGCTTTACAACGTTGGTGCGGGGGGGGGGGGGGGGGGAAGGAGAAGGATTGGGATTGGGGGGGAGGGGGGAGGCTGGGAAGGGATGTGAAGGGTAAACCAAAGGAGGAGGCTGCAATGCTTGGTAAGAAATGTACGCATTATCCTGCCCATGTAATTGTAACCCCTCTGTACAGTATGTTCACAAATAAAATTTAAAAAAAAAAAAAAAAAGAAATACCAGGTTTACCATGGACAAAGCCAAGAAAACCAACGATGCCAGATATTGAATTTCTATTGCACTGTCCTTTGAACACATCAGCAGGAAGTATTGCTGAATGCAGATACCATACAGTGGTGTGTGTGTGTGTGTGTGTGTGTGTGTGTGTGTGTGTGTGTGTGTGTGTGTGTGTGTGTGTGTGTGTGTGTGTGTGTGTGTGTGTGTGTGTGTGTGTGTGTGTGTGTGTGTGTGTGTGTGTGTGTGTGTGTGTGTGTGTGTAAAGTGGGGTTTTGAACTATGGGCCTGGGCACTCTCCCTGAGCCTCTCTGTGCTCAAAGCTAGCCTTTTACCACTTGAGCCACAGCACCACTTCCAGCTTTTTCTGTTTATGTGGTACTGAGGAATCGAACCCAGGGCTTCATGCATGAGAGGCAAGCACTCTATCCTTAAGCCACATTCCCAGCCCCAATGAGAAGTTTTTAAATGGCAAGATCACATAAGATAAAAACAATTATTACTATTGAGTATGGCATACTCAAGTCTATGAAGTTTACCTAGGAAGCAAGTTTTGCAGAGATCCATGTCACTGCATTGAAGACACCGGTAGCGGTGCCAGGGAGCAATCTCATCACATCCATCACAAGAGATGTCCACATTTAGCAGGTCACAGTAACGAGCAATGAACATGTGCATCTGTAAGTTGAAATGAACATGATTAAACAAGTTTCTCATGTGGTACATTAATTCACTTAAGAGATACTTAAGTTTTCTAGGCACATCGGATGCTCTGGCTTACACCTACAACTTCAGATACTGAGATGGTGAGGATTGGAAGGATCACAATTCAAGGCCAGACAAAAAGTTAGCAAGATATCATCTCAACAAAACAGCTGGGTTTGGTGGTGGCACCTGTCATCCCAGGTACTCAGGAGTCTTAGGTAGGTAGATTATAGCCCAGGCTGGTCTGGGCCTCCTCCCTTGTCTCTCCTTCCCCTGTCCCCTCCCCCCCAAAGCAAGACTGCTTGAAAAATAACTGAAATAGAAAAGGCTGAAAAAAAAAAATCTAGGTACACTCTACTAGGTGATAGTAGCTAAGATTTGTAGCCAAACAAATTAAGTGTCTATCTGAGAATTCCCTCAAAAAAAAGCAAATTGTGAACATAGTGTTATAAGTGCTTTGGTAGGCAAATTTAGGGAACTTAGCAGTACAAGATGCTATCCATAGTATTGGAAAGGTTGAGAAAAGTTTTTCCCTCAACTAAGACCAAGGGACAAATAGATTGTGTGTGGGTAAATGTGACAGGTATATCAGATAGAAGGAGTAGCACAGCTCTGACAGAAAGGCAACAAACAAGGGTTTATGGTGTCATGTAGTAAGTAGAATTCAGTCCAGAGTGGAAATAATCAGATGTAGTTAGAAAGGCTAAGCCAGTGAGGTGTCAAACACTATTCTAAGGAATTACTAATTTTTTGGTTGGTTGTGGGGTTTGAACTCTGGGCCTGGGCACTGTCCCTCAGCATTTTAGCTCAAGGCTAGTGCTCTACCATTTGAGCCACAGCGCCACTTCTGCCTTTTTCTGTTTGTGTGATGTTGAGGAATCAAACCCATAGCCTCATGCAGGCGAGGCAAGCACTCAACCACTGAGCCACGTTCCTAGCCCCAGAAATTACTAATTTTTTAAACCGAAGAGTAAGAGGAGTAGATTTAGTGTTCTCAAGGTTCCTGGCTGAGAAGAGACTGAAAGGAACAAGACAGGAGTTAGGGAGACTAACGGTGACAATGTTGGCTCTAAGGGTGGAATTGCATGCAGGTGGGACAGAGCTGACTTAAGAGGTACTAAGGAGGCAGGATGGGTAGTGCTGGTGACTGATTAACTTGGTATGGGGGTAAAACACAAGCAAGAACAGAATTTAAATGTTTGGTTTGGGTACTTGGTTGGACAATGGCAGTGCATACAGTCACAGAAATACTGCAAGAACACTCCTTCCTGATACTTAAAAATGAACCAAGTATCGTGCCATATGCCTAAGCTTGGGTTTCATAATGAGATTCTATCTCAACTTTCTCATACTCCCCCTTCCTAGAAAACAAAGAAAAAAATGAACAAAATCCAGAAATAAATCCTTCCTGTGAAAACAGTAAAAGCAGTGTTTCATGATCAAGCAATTGTTACCTAAATGCACTTAGAGACTACAATACATTCTTTCGAGTCTATAAATAAGAATGGAAAATATGTAGAAGAAATCTCCCATGATACCTGAGCACTATAAAATGGTTTCTAATCAGATACTAATAAGGCTCAGCTGGTATGCTCTAACCAAGCACCACAGAAGTGCTATATAAACAAACAAAAAATATATATAAAGTATATGTGAAGGTGGCATACAGTAGGTATTCAATACAGAGAAAAATGAATGGCTATGAGGCAGCAGATGTCTGACACTTATGCTAGTGACAGATATAATACCTCATGTAAGATGACAGGCAGCTGCCTGAGCCCAGTGCTTTTTCTCATCTGAATCATCTAACTTTGATTTAGTATGCTTAGTGTAGGCTTCTAACCGGAATGTGGCTTCTGTAGTACTCATCTACAGGAATAGAATAGTCTGCCCAAAGGATACTAAGCGTTCAAGCCATTCAGCAATTGCATATGCTTAAGTCTTTTACACATTACTATTTGTGTGTAACCTGCACAAAGGGGACTGTTAGTATACATCAGCCTTGTAAGCCACTCTTCTGCAAGTCCAGCTCTATGGAGGGAGCCACTCTGATGGGTCATATCAAGATGTAGAGCTCCTCAGGTTAATCTCAGAAATGCGATCCTTAATGTCCCCTCCAGGAGCTCTCTCTGAGACAGCATGCTGGCACACTCCAGGCATATTCTCCTTTCCAAACTCCTTGCAAGCCACCCAGATTACTCTAGTTGAGAGGTCTTACTTTCCTCTGCTTCTCTGGATCCTCCTGGGCTATTTTTTCATACCAGGCCTCAAACATGCCATCCTGACACTCATCCATCCATTCTGAATTCTGCTTGGCATCAGCAAGCTCATCCTCTTCACTCCACTGGCTGAAAAGACATAACAAGAGAAAAGCATGCCTCTCCTGGTACTCAAGGAAAGTGCTAGTTAGTGGACCTTGTGTTCCACAAGTCTAACAGATTGAGTATTTTTAGTTACTTTTTATTTTTCTAAATAAGAAAATGTACTATATTTCATAACTTTTAACAACTTAAAAGCAAATATTTCATGTCTAAAGGACAGCTAACCATTTTATAAATCATCCAATTAATTTTATTAGCATACATTAGATGTACAAGGGGGGTTTCATTGTGACATTTCCCACATGCATATAGTGTATCCTGATCTTCTTTACCACCTCCATTTCTCTCCATCATCCCATTCCCTACCTCTTAAAAACATTCCATCAGACTTTATCATTCTGTCTTTATTCACTGCCCTTCAAGCCCTCCCCACTCCTACTTATTTGCCTTCCTTCTCAATAGAGACTGTAGATTGAACTTCTGAAGGAAAAAGGCCAATTGCTTTTTAAAATACAGGATTTAGTTAGCTGTTTGATGGCTGTACACCAATAAAAGAGGGAGAAATCTTTTCCAGAGCACACTACACTGGGTGGGATAAACCTACTATGTGCCATGTAGTAGGGTCAAATACAATGATTTAAAAAAGTTTTGGTGGGGATGCTCAGAACATTGTAATGGAATCAGCTTGACAGTGAGAAGATCCCGAGACTTCATATTTACCACGACCAGCTATACGACTTGTCCAGAAGTTCTATACTGCTGGATTCAATCATCAGATCAAAAACATTCAAAAACAACTGTATCTATATTGAACATGTGCAGATTTTCTTGTCATCATTCCCTAAATAATAAAGTATAACAGTAACCTAGAGATGATTTAAAATATACAGGATTTAAAGTATGTGTAGATTACATTCAAATATTAATATGTAAGGGACTTGAGTATCTTCAGGCTTTAGTATCTGTGAAAGTGCCTGGAACCAAGCACCCAAGGCACAACTATACTTGGATTTGGCCCTGTTCCCTCATTTCAAATAAAAGGTTCATATAGGTTCATATAAGCTCCTCTTAGATGTGAAATTATAAATTTCCACAATTTATGCTTAGTGTGTTTTAGCAACCAAAATCCCAAACACAAAAATATTTACTTAATAGCAAATGCAAAATATTTTTCAACAACTGGTCTGGGAAGGTGGCTCAGTGGTAGAATGCTTGCCTTCCATGCATGAGGCCCTGGATTTGATTCCTCAGCACCACATAAGCAGAAAAAGCTGGAAGTGGTGCTGTGGCTCAAGTGGTAGAGTGCTTAGCCTTGAGCTGAAGAGCTCAGGGACAGTGCCCAGGCACAGAGTTCAGGCCCATGACTGACAGAAAAAAAAAAATTCCAACAAAAAAATACACACTCATTCATGTATTCCAACAAAATGAATTTTGTCTACTCTTCTTAGCTCTGGGCTAGTGCTATGAGGAATGGTGTGAACATTCTGTCCCACTAGAGGACTACATCATGCAGGTGCAGACAAGAATTGAAATGATGGGCAAACTGACCAGCATGGTGATGGCTGCTCAATGTTGCATCCTTTCTCTGACATCAGTGCCCTCTGACATCAGGGCAAGGGCTGAAGGCAGTTAATAAGGAGACAGCTTTAATTTTAAACACATTCCCATTGCACAATGGAATGAGAAAAAAAAAAACTTCTTATAATCCAAGTCCTTATAATGTAGATTACAGTAGCTAACACCACATAGAGGTATAACAAAAATATAGAAAAGGGTTCTCTCAATTAACAAGGTATAGTAGGATCTCCAAAAATACAGAGGAGCTCTCTGAGTTCAGAGCACCATTGCTAACAACTTACATAGCACCACTACATGCCAGACACCATTTTAAACACTCAGAAATATAACTCACGCATTCTTGATGACAAGCCTTGGGTGCAGGTACCATTATTATCTCAGCTCTAAAGAAGAGGCAACTAAGGTACAAAGCAATTGGGTAACATGTTAACAGTCACCCAGTTTTTGAGTGGCAAAGCCAAGATGTATCACTCATACCCTAATCCAACTCCAGAGTCTATGCCCTCACCCCCATTGTGTCAATGATTCCTGTCTTTCATCTCCTACTCCAGGAACTTCAGAGTGTAGGGTTGTTTTCTTACCTGATCATACTGTCGTGGACACTGATATTTTCTTGTGACATTTTCATTAGGAGATCTGGTAACTGAATATCAACAAAGAAGGCAAGATCACAAGGTTCCCAGCCCATATCCAAAAGATGAAGTAAGGCTGTCTGAATGCACGATAAGGCAGGCAGCAGGGATCTAAAGAGGCCACACAAATGACAGTTATCAAAGCTGCCCATTACCAAAAGACAACAGGGTCACTGCAAGGTGGCCAACAGTTTGTAATGGGAAAGCACAAAATCTCTTATCTCGTACAAATATCCTACAAAGCTTAAGCAAAAGAACTGTGAAATAACCAGGCTGTGCTCTACCAATTGAGCCACAGCACCGCTTCTAATTTTCTGGTGGTTTATTGGAGATAAGTCTCACAGATTTTCTTGCTTGGGCTGGTTTTGAACTGCGAACTGCGATCCTTAGATCTTAGCCTCCTGAGTAGCTAGGATTATAGGCATGAACAATCAGTGCCTGGCACATTATAAATTCTTAGGTACATTTAGACCTATCCCTGATGAACTCATGAGATGGAAAAAAAATTAAGAGGAATCATACTAATAAGGCAACATTAGTGATTAGCTTAGAGAGTAGAGGGCAATTTTATTCTTTGTGTTTTTCAGTATTTTTAGCACAGAACATGAATTCCATTTATAATCAGAAAAAATCTTTTCTCTAGAAATTTACAAAGTAATCCAGTACCTGTCATTTATGCTATTAAATCCTTTAATTGCTTTGACCAAAAAGAGAACAAGTTGATAGTAAGTGTCTCGAATTTCTTTGTGTAGGTCAGCACCACAACCTTCCAGGTGTCCAAAATAACTAGAAATAGAGAAAATCATCAACTTAATTGCTAGGACAACTTTAACTAAATAATCCTGTTCCTTACATGAAAGACTGAAGAAACAGCAAGCTAAACAAAGTTGCACATAAACTTAAGGGAAAACAAGTACAATGACTTTAGATGGTGAACAAACCAACTGGTAGGTCCAATGGGTGAGCCAAAAGAGATGTTCAGGAAAAGTAGGGAGATGAGAACTATTCATCTTTCTTAGTTACATAGCCCCACTACATACTACTTGAGGGCCAGATACTGGGTGACTTATTTTTCACAAATTGCTTCATTTAGCCTCTGCACCCGCCATTCTGTCTCCCTTCACTGCCTTCAGTAATAAACTCACTGGATTTTCTACTTGGATCAGTAACCTTGGTGACTTGAATATCCATGGGAATCATACCTCTGTTTCTTTTTTTTTTGGGGGGGGGGGGCGGGACTCTGGTTGTGGGGCCTGAACTCTGGGCTTGGGCACTGTCCCTCAGCTCTTCAGCTCAAGGCTAGCGCTCTACCACTTGAGCCATAGCACCACTTCCGGCTTTTTTTATTTTCTGTTTATTTTATATTCTGCTGAGGAATCGAACCCAGGGCCTCATGCATGCAAGTCAAGCACTCTACCACTGAGCCACCTTCCCAGCCCCCTCTGTTTCTTTTTCTTTCAATTCTCTGTTATTTTCACTGCTGAGGATCTTCTCATGTATCCTTTAGTCATCTCAGTTTGATGATCATTTCCTTGGCCTTGTCATCAAGCAATAGCTACTTCATAGCATGCTACTCTGCCTATGGACTCTCATCCCACTCTTTTTTTTTGGGGGTGGGAGGTCCGGTCATGGGGCCTGAACTCTGGGCCTGGGCACTGTCCCTCAGCTCTTCAGCTCAAGGCTAGTGCTCCACCACTTGAGCCATGGCGCCACTTGCGGCTTTTTTCTTTTTGCTTATGTGGTGCTGGAGAATAGAACCCAGGGCCCCAGGCATGCAAGGCATGAGCCACCATCCCAGCCCCCAAACTTTTTTTTTTTTTTTTTTGGTCAGTCGTGGGGCTTGAACTCTGGGCCTGGGCGCTGTCCCTCAGCTCTTCAGCTCAAGGCGAGCGCTCTACTACTTGAGCTACAGCGCCACTTCTGGTTTTCTGGTGATTTTTTTTGTTTTTTTTTTTATTGGAGATAGGAGTCTCACAGTCTCTCCTGCCTGGGCTGGCTTTGAACCGTGATCCTCAGATCTCAGCCTCCTGAGTAGCTAGGATTACAGGCGTGAGCCACCAGCGCCTGGCTTCATCCCACTCTTCTACTAAATATTTCCACACAACTTTTTTATTTAATCCTAATGGACCCCAGCTTATGAGGCCACATCATATTTGTCATCTACTACTCCTACCATGCTTGCTTTCTCTCTGCTCCAATCTCACATTAGAATCCATAGCTTATCACCACCCTCAGACTTGAGCAAACATCAGTTCTATGGCCTCTTTCTATATACATCTTGCCTAAGGAATCTTATACCTGTATCAAAACAGCTGAGTGTTGCTGGAGCAAATACCATATAACCAAGCTGACTATGTCAATTTAAATTCACAGCCACAATTCTTTTTATTTTTATTTTTTGCCAGTCGTGGGGCTTGAACTCAGGACCTGGGCACTGTCACTGAGCTCTTTTGTTCAAGGCTAGTACTCTATACCACTTTGAGCTACAGTACCAATTCCAGGTTTTGAGTGGTTAATTGGTTATAAGAGTCTCAAGCTGGGTCCGAACCATGATCCTCATATCTCAACCTTCTGAGTAGTTAGGATTATAGGTGTGAGCCATCAGAGCCCAGCTCTACAGCCACAATCCTTAGAGAAGCACTTGAACAGGCAGGCAATTAAAAATGGCTTTCTCAATTCTTTTTTTTTTTTTTAACCCCAGAACTGGGGTTTGAACTGAGGGTTTTCCATTTATCAAACAAGTGCTGCTCTACCCTTTGAGCCATGCCCCCAACCCAACTTTCATTACTATCTAAAATGTACTTGTCTCTCCTTAAATGGCCATTATCTTCTTCTCAACCTCTATTTTCACATTTTAACTTGAGGAAAAAAAAAAAGCTGGGGGTAGGATTTATGCCTGTCCCAGCTACTTAGGAAGCATCAATCAAGCAGATCATGATTTGAGGCCAACCAGGGCAAGAAAGTTTGTGAGACTACATCTTCACCAATAAAGCGTAGCCCGGGGAAGAGTGTCTGTCATTTTAGCTACAGGGAGGAGCATAAATGCGAGGACTTTAATCCAGGCCAGCCAGGAAAAAAACATGAGACACTATTTGAAAAATAACTAAAGCAAAAAGGCATTGGTGTATAGCTCAAAAGGTACAGTGTTCATCTACCAAGCATGAGACCTCTGAGTTCAACCACTAAAATAAAAAATTTATATAGAAATTTACTCATTTTTGTACTTAATCTTCTTGCATATGCATTGCATTGTATGAAAAGCTATGTTTCTTCCTTATATTCTAATTCTAAAAGGCCATCCTCTCTAACTGATACAAGTTGCTGCTGCAAACTGTCTTATCAGCTCCTAAATCCAGTTTGCAGCCCTTACTAATTTCTACCAGCATTCAAAAGCACTCCTAAAAAAAAAATCCCTCAGGTTCAGTGTTGGTTATATAGGTCATGTTAGAGCATGTACTTAGTGAGTAAGGCCTTGGGTTCGATAATGCAATATGGAAAAACTAAAGCAAAAACCCTCCTGCTCCATATGCCCTTATAATGTATTTCTCTGCTCCCCTTTTAGGCCAAATTTCTTGAATTAGTTGTAGTATCTCTGTTTTATCATCCCCACTTTTTTAAACCAAGTCCAAGGGGACTTTGACCTCACAGCTCTATTAAGAGGTGCTATATCCAGTGTTTTTATTCTTCCCAACTCTCTCATCGGTACTCAACTGGCCATTTTTGTCTTTTTTTTTTTTTTTTTGGTCATGGGGTTTGAACTCTGGGCCTAGGTGCTGTCCCTCAGCTCTTCAATTCAAGGCTAGCACTCTACCAACTTGAGCCACAGCGACACTTCCGGTTTTCTGGTGTAAGTCTTTCTGGAGATAAGTCTCCCGGACTTTCCTACCTGGGCTGACTCCTATGTAGCTAGGACTACAGGTGTCAGCCAATGACGCCTGGCTGTTTTGTTTTTTTCCTTTTTTGTCTTTTGAGTTACAACCTTCTATTAGATTCTATGATATCCCCTCTCTCACTGAGGTCCTCCATCTATTTCTAGGGCCAGTTCCTCTTGATCACATTAGCTGACTCATCCCTCTGTTTGACTTCTAAATGAGGCCAGCAAGGAAGGCTCAGTCCTGGCCCCTGCTTATCAATTTGCACTCTGTCTAGGTATCATCTATTCTCATGGCTTTTAGTGTGTGTAAGTCCTGGGTCTTAAACTGGTCCTGGATGCTGTCCCAGACCGAGTTTGCTCAAGGCTAGCATTTACCACTTAAGCCACAACTCTACTTCCAGGTTTTTGGTGGTTAACTGGAGGTCTTACATATTTTCCTGACTGAGTTGGCTTCAGTGATCTTCAGATCTCAGCCTCCTGAGTAGTTAAGATTATAGGTGTGAGCCACTGGTGCCTGACTTAAAATGCAGGTTAAACAAATAGATTATATGTTCATGGCAATCATAAGACCTGACTTCTACACTGAGTCCTGAGTTTTTCCCAGAACCTTAGATTCTGATCTATTTTCTTAGTATCTTTACTTGGTGATTCAAGAAGCAGTTCAAACAATATGGTCAAAAATAAAATAGCAGGGTGCCAATGGCTTGTGCCCGGTAATCCTAACTACTCAGGAGTCAGATCTGAGGATCACGGTTTGAAGCCAGCCTGGGTAGAACAGTCCCTGTGAGACTCTTACCTCCAATTAACCACACAAAAACCGAAGTGACACTGTGGCTCAAAGTGGTAGAATGTTAGCCTTGAGCAAAAGAGCTCAGGGCCAGTGACCAGGCCTTGAGTTCAAGCCCTATAACCAACAACAATAAAAATAAAAATACGTAAAACAATTTGTTTCTTCCATACCCTTTCTTTTCCTCAGTAAAGTATATCACTGTCTACCTAGGTGCTCCAGATCCAATCCTAGGAGTTTCTTTTCTTTTTCTTTTTTTGGGGGGGTCCGGTTGTGGGTCCTGAACTCTGGGCCTGGGCACTGTCCCTCAGCTCTTTAGCTCAAGGCTAGTGTTCTACCACTTGAGCCACAGCGCCACTTCCGGCTTTTTTCTTTTTGCTTATGTGGTGCTGAGGAAATCGAACCCAGGGCCTCAGGCATGCAAGGCAAATGCTCTACCACTGAGCCACCTTCCCAGCCTCAAGGAGTTTCTTTTCTTTTCCCATGATTCCTATCTTTTATTCAATCTCTGTCAATAAATTTGGTTTTATTTAATAATTTAAAATTTATCTTTAAATAGTTGTACATAGGGGGTTTCAATTTAACATGTCAATTTATATAAACAGTGCATCTTGACAGTGTCAACCCTTTTGGTCAATCAGTCTTGACTCTTTTACCACCAAAATATATCCTGAATGTTAGTTTCTTTTTTCTATCCATCTTCAGGACTACTCCCTGATCCAAATAATTATCATCAGTTGCCTGCACTACAGTATCACTGCTTTTTCTACTTCCATCCCTGGCACACACAGCCAGGGATATCTCTCACAAATAGTAATGTGTTACTTCTGGGCTCCAAAAATCTCTAGCAGGCTGAGCGCTGATGGCTCATGCCTATAATCCTAGTTACTCAGGAGGCTGAGATCTGAGGATCTCGGTTCATAGCCAGCCCAGGCAGGAAAGTCTATGAGACTCTTATCTCCAATTAAACACCAGAAAACCAGAAGTGGTGCCATGGCTCAAGTGGTAGAGTACTTGCCTTGAGCTGAAGAGCTCTCAGAAACAGTACTCAGGCCCAGAATTCAAGCCCCAAGAGTGACCTCTTATACCATATCCTCTTTCACTCAGTTATACAAGCTTTCTTTCAGCTCTTTGGGCTAGTTCTCCAACCTAGAGCTCTGCATCATTCCTTCTACCTTTGGTGCTGCCTTTGTCATCTCATCTACTCATTCATTTGCTGGTTTATGTACTATTTTCTTGGCTAGCTTTCCTTGATAAGCTCAAACTACATTAAATCACCAGCCACATGACAGTATTACTATCTGATTTTTCATCTTCCATTTTACTTTACCTGATATTTCTTCATTTATTTTATTTTTTGTGCTAGTACTTGGTTTTGAACTCAGGGTTATACACTCTCACTTGGCTTTTATGTTCAAGGCTGGTACTCTACTTGAGCCATATCTCCACTTTCAGTGTTTTGATTGTTGACTGGAGATAAGAATCTCACAGACTTTTCTGCATAGCCTGGTTTTGAACATCAATACTCAAATCTTACCTCCTGAGCCACCAGCATAAGCCACTGATGGCCTGCTAAGTTTTAAAATATTAAATTTTAAAAATGCTCTCTCTTGAGCCAGGCACCAGGCAGGAAAGCCTGTCCAGGCAGGAAAGGGCATGAATCTCCAATTAATCACAAAAAAACCTCCAACAACAACAAACTAATGGAAGTAGAGCTATGGTACAAGTGGTAGAGCACTAGCCTTGAGCAAAAAAGCTCAGGGGCAGTGTCCATGTTCTGAACTTAAGCTCCAGGACCAGCATCCCCTCCCCCTGCCAAAAAAAAGTTCTCTTTTACTCTCCAAGAGAATATAAGCTCAATTAGAATAGGGACTTGGGGGCTGGGAATGTGGCTTAGTGGTAGAGTGCTTGCCTAACAGGCATGAAGCCTTGGGTTTGATTCCTCAGTACCACATAAATGGAAAAAGCTAGAAGTGGCACTGTGGCTCAAGTGGTAGAATGCTAGCCTTGAGTAAAAAAAGCTCAGGGACAGTGCTCAGCCCTGAGTTCAAGCCCCAGTACTGACAAAAGCAAAACAAAAAAATAGGGACTTGGTCTGTCTTGTCCACTACTGAATATATAACACTTTGAACAGTGCCTGGCACAGTAGATACTAAAAAAAAAAAAAAAAAATTATTGAGTGAAGATTAGAACCACCTTGAGAAGCACTTAAATTAACATCATTATTATAAATGAATATCATATTTTAGCTCACATTTTCCAGGAGCCAAATAATAATGTGCCCAGGAGAAATATTAAAATATTATTCTGCCTGGTAAAACACAGCTTAATACACATGTTCATGGTACCTACTAAAAACTATGATCCTTTTTTTCCTTAGGATAACAGAATGAATGTATATTTGTCTTCCACATGGAAATGATAATTATTAATTAGAAAAGATCATTTTTTTTTTTTAAAATACCTCAGCTTATTTTCCTTGCAGATTTGTCCTTTGTACTTACTTGGTAAAATCTTTCTGGCAGGTCAGAAGTTCCAACAGGAAAAGAACATATGGTGGATGAAAGCAATGAGGCTGTCCTAGGGATTCTGTACAGTACTGAATTACCCTCAGGGCTTCCAGGATGCTCTTGGCTTGGGCTTTCTTTAAGGAAAGAACCTTTACAACACTGGAGACAGAACTCAAGTCAGACTATGCAGGAAACTGAGTTAGGGTAGGAAAAAAAAACACCTATCCTCCTCCCAAGTGCTGAAGCTTTATGAATGAAAAGAAAGTACTGCTGTTGGTTTTAAACACATTATGCAAAGAAAAATATTATACTACCTACTACTTTTACTTAGCAGCATTAAGAATCAGTTGCACACAAATTGTGTGAAGGCACAAGTTATTTTGAAAAACTAATTCTGAAAAACTTTGATACATTTACTTGGCTATCAAGAGATAAAGCTTTAATTCATAAGATTAGGAAATTCCTCACTAACTTTCAGGGAGGTAGGTAGGCCCATGGATTGTCAGAAAAGATCAAAACCTGAATTTTTCCCAGGGCTAATAATTTTTTAAGTGGCAGCTACCAAAGGAAATGCTTCCTTAAAAAAACAAGAACAAAAAACAACATTACTGAGATATATTTTACACGCAGTTAATACACAAATCTTAAGTGAAAAATACTTCTTTAAGGGAAAACTCACCACTTTTTTTATCGTGAATATTATAAAACAAGTTTGGTTCTATCCTAAATATCACTTGTCCACTGTTAACATGAACTTGAAGCCTTTGCCTAAACTGGATATCTCTGATTTGAAAAGAGAAAGTATAGGGAGAAAAGGACTGGCTCACCTGTCATGTGAGAGTGATTGATCTTTAATGAAGTCCATGGCATCCTTCAACACTGGATATTTCTCTTTTACTGTAGGCAGTGGTCTGGCTTCTTCCATGGATCTGAAAGAGAGTAGCCGGAGTCGCCCTCGGGTGAAGGGTGGCCGCCGGGTAGGTGTGGAAGGTGAGGAGGGCTCCTCAGCAGTGGGCACTTCTGCAGAGGGAGGCCCGCTACTTGGTGGCAGCTTTGAGGGGACCTCCCAGTCAGGACTGTTGTCTCTGGCAGTTGAGGGGCCTGCTTCTGTGGGAGATGCTGAGGCTTGGAAATGCTCTTCTACCACAGAGCTTGTCCTCTGGTGCCTGTCTAGTGGCTGGAGGTGATCGGTTTCATTGACAGTCACCAACTTGTCAAAGGTTTCTTCTGAACTTTTGTCCATGGGCAAAAATTTTAGTAACAGAAGACTTTTCTGAATACATTCTTTTGCTAAGTGCAAAAAAATAAAATGATAGAGAGATAAAGGAAAAATTAAACTTAGTAATTACTTTCAGAGAGAAAAATAATCTATTTACACTTCATCCTCATGAATTCTGCATCTACTGATAGAATACAATCAAACTGTAATTATATGAATCAAGATCATGCCAATACTTTTTTAAAAGCTTTATTATAGTGAACATTCCAAATTAATATAATAAATGTATATAATTTCAAATATAATGACTATTCTATATACCCACTGTCTCAATAATTATCAACTCACAAATAATCTTGTTTCCCCTACTCCCAAGGTTTGATGATTTCCATGCAAATGCCAAGCATTACACTTTTTTACCTGTAAAAGTTCCAGCCTAGCTCTCTACAAAAATAGGTTTTCAAAGATATTTTAAAAAATTAATAGCAATTCTTTCATAATTCTTTGAGCTGCATACATGAAACTGAAGCCTCTTAAAAGAAGCAATTAGATGTTCCATGTTAGTAAACAACTAGTTCTTTTTGGCATTTTCTCCATTTTTGACATATCTTTGAAAACAACCTTAAGCATCTTTCTTTATCGCTTTTCCTATGTCAACATAGACTCAACAAGAATTACCAAGAAGGCAGGCATAAGTTCTTTCAGTTCTGGACAAAACAAAAACAAAACACTTGATGGACCAGTAACCACGGCTGGTATTGGCATACTCACCTAGGCTCTCTGGGTTCGCCTCTACAGCTTCTGAACTGAGTTTTTCTTCAGCCTCATTCCCCAGGCTCATCAGGGACTTTTGCTTCATCTCTAACTGGGGAGCGAGAAGATTTGAACCACGTAATTAAACTGTCCTGATAGAGCAGCAGGGCAGCACAGAAAGCTACTGCAAAAACACACAGTGTTGAAATTATAGAAAACTTCCTGACTATTGCCCAGCTGCTTAGGACGTGGGCTAAACTTGTTTTCTTCATCCTTTGAAGCTGTCTACAAAACTACTTTTGAAAACCTATCTACAAAACTATCTCCTCTATACATGTGGAAGGAATTTATATACATGACTTTATTATTTTACAAAACTTAAAATACTGGTGCTGAAGGAGACTTTCTCTAAATCCTACAAAACTACTTTTGAAAACCTATCTACAAAACTATCTCCTCTACTACATGTGGAAGGAATTTATATACATGACTTTATTATTTTACAAAACTTAAAATACTGGTGCTGAAGGAGACTTTCTCTAAATCCTACCAGTACAGACAAAGCAGCTGAGGTCTAGAGAAATGGAGGCCTTACTACAGCCATATATATATATATCTAGTTTGCTTCAAAAATTGTTGTAATTTTTTTGTCTATGTGTGGAGTTCTGGGGCTTGAAATTAAGGTCTGGGCACTGTCCCTTAGCTTTTTTATTCAAGGCTAGTGCTCTATCATTTGAGCTACAGCTCTACTCCTGGATGTTTGGAGGTTAGTTGAAGGTAAGAGTCTCATCAACTTTTTTTTTTTGCCTGGACTGGTTTCAAATCATGATCCTCAGATTTCAGCTTTCTGAGTGCAGGATCATAGGTATGAGCCACTGGCACCCAGCTTGTTCTTAAATTTTGAACTCTGTTCTACTCTGATGAGGAGATACTTCTAGGTGAGGCTGAGACTTCAGGCAGAGGAGGGTACTATGAGAATAGATTGAGGCAATGATCACAGCATGGGCCACAATGCAGACAGCCAGGCAGAAGGTATAAGAGAGGCCAAGGTCTCAAACAGAAAGCCAGTATCTTGTGTGTTGGCAGTCTATTCACCAGAGCATTATCTGTAGCATGCCTTGTCAATAGTCAAAACGTTTTCACCTAAACTCTGTGGCTGAGTTTCTTAGAAACTCTTTTCTTTCAAATTTTACCACTTGGTTTCTCTGTTTGCATACTTTTTTGATTCTTGTTCTATCGTTTTTTATGGTGAGTACTCTACCACTGAATTAACTCATCCAGCTGATTCTCCTCCTACCATCTGATGATGATGTCTTTTAATTTCTCCTAAAAGATTTTGTTTACTTTAGTTTCTAACTATCCAATATAATTTGGGCACTAACCATGGTCTAGTCAGACCAAGGCTGTGTGTTTGTAAACTCATACTTTTAATAAAAATAATGATTAAAAATAATTTAAAGTTACCTTCTGTCTTCACATGTCTCTGACACATCAGTCACTTAGATTATCCACCAAGTTCTCTAGCTAGATGTCTCAGATAACAGGTCCAAAGCTGAATTTCTTTTCTAATTCATAAATCAAAGATTGCTTTTCCTATCCTGATCAATGTTTCTCCTTCCTACCAAGTAATCCATCAAAAATTGAACTATCCTAAATTCCTCCTTCTTATTCACTACTCAAATCCTTCACAAAGCCCTATGATTATTTCATCTCAGTTGCAAAAGCTATTCTTTTTTAGTTACTATAATTCTTTTGTTTTTAATTTCTTTTTTTTTCCTTTTCTGTCAGTACTGAGCCTCTCAAAAGGCTTTGCTCAAGGCTGGCACTTTACCATTTGAGCCACACCTCTACTTCTGGCTTTTTGCTGATTAAATGGAGACAAAGATCTCCCCAATGTGTCTGTCTAGAATTGGTTTTGAACCCCAATCCTTGGATCTCAACCTCCTCGAATAGCTAGGATCACAGACATGAACCACTGATGCCCACCTAGCTTTTGTTTTCAATTTTGTTATCCATTCTCTACCCATTTGCTTATATATTTTTTTTCTCAATTACCATCCAGGGTTAAAGATGCATGCAAATATATACCATGTGAGTTCAAATCCCATACTGGCAAAAAAAAAAAGATGTAAATAATATAAAGAATATCACTAATGTTTGATTACTTTCATACCTAAGAATCAAAACAATTCTCCTGATTTCAGTGTTCAGCATTTCTATGTATTTGTATAATTATATCATGCATTTATATATAACATGAAAATCTGGCTTGTATTAAAACATATAAGAATTATCATACTTAAGCATATTTACACTTTTCTTTTTTTCTTTTATCAAATCTATTGAAAGATGACATTGCTGATACATGTGGCTTTATTTCTTTCACTTTTGTTGTAATGTAATATTACTCATATCATATATTAATGTACAATTCCTTTACTTTTTTTTTGTTGTTGTTGTTGGTCATGGGGCTTGAACTCTAGGCCTGAGCACTGTCCCTCAGCTCTTCAGCTCAAGGCGAGTGCTCTACCACTTGAGCTACAGGCCACTTCCGGTTTTCTGGTGGTTTATTGGAGATAAAAGTTTCACAGACTTTCCTGCCTGGGCTGGCTTTGAACCACAATCCTCAGATATCAGCCTCCTGAGTAGCTAGGATTACAGGCGTGAGCCACCAGCGCCGGGCTACAATTCTTTTCTTTTCCCTACCAATAGACATTTAGTTCTTCCAGGTTGGACTGTCACAACCAATGCTGCAGTTATTTTTAAAATATATCACAGATCTTTTACCTTACTGAAACTATCAACGGCTGCCAGTATCTAAGGCAATTCTTTTCTTCCAGGTATGAGGAATTGCCCACAGTGGTATTACTTTGGGTTTATTGAAAGAAATGAAAGGGGTTTAATTAAACCCCTTTAATGTTTACTCTGAACATTTTTAACACTCACTAATTTATGATTTCAAGGGTTCTAAATTACTTTACGCCTATTCATTACACTGAAATTTAGTTTTTTAAAAAATTTGTATGGCTGGGAATGTGGCTTAGTGGTAGAGTGCGTGCCTAGCATGCACAAAGCCCTGGGTTCGATTCATCAATACCACATAAACAGAAAAAGCTGGAAATGGTGCTGTGGCTAAAGTGGTAGAGTGCTACCCTTGAGCAAAAGAAGCTCAAGGACAATGCCCAGGCCCTGAGTTCAAGCCTCAGGAATGGAAAAAAAATCATAAATTAATACTCTTGGGAAAAAGTTTCTTACTTAATTCTAACATCATAGTGGGAAAACCTAAATTATATGAAAATCTCATGAGAAGGAAAATCTTACCATCCATATTCGAATCCCATCTGCCAGGGAATACACCTGTGCAAACTCTTCACTCAGGGCTATCTTGCCCCCGCTATTTACTAGGGAAAGGAGAGAAGAAGTTACATTCAGTTAATTCAATTCGCTAATGCAGCATTGCACACAAAATATTCTTTGAATCTCCTGAAATACAGAAAAAGTTTTCCTGACACACAGATAAGGATGTTTGTAAAAGCCTTGGGGGAAAATCACTAAGTCCCAAATATGTGATTGGGTTCCCTACGTTACTTCAGACTAACCTGGTTCAAATAAATACTTTCTAAAATGGAATTACTATTTAAAGTGGATAAAATCTGAAATTTAAATATAAAAATACTAAAAGTAATTTTAATGCTAAAATTAAATTTTAAAATAGAAAATAATTCATGGTATGTGAAATAAAAAAATAAGTTTTGAAACAGTATAAACAAAATGATCTCAGCCAGGCACCTGTGGCTCATGTCTGTAATCCTAGCAACTAAGTAGGTTGAGATCTGAGGATCACAGTTAGAAGCTAGCCTGGGTAGGAAAGTCCATTAGATTCTCATCTCCAATAAAATACTCAGAAAAGGCTAGAAGTGGAGCTGTAACTTAAGTGGAAGAGTGCTAGCCTTGAGCAGAAGCTCAGGACAGCACCCAGGTCCTGAGTTCAAGCACCAAGATGGGCAAAAAACAAAAAAACAAAACAAAAAAACCCACCTCACTCTAAAAGAGTAAAACAGTAAGGCACCAGTGGCTCACACATGTAATCCTAGCTACTTCAGGCAGCTGAAATCTGAGGATTGTGGTTCAAAGCCAGACTGGACAGGAAAGTCCTGTCAGACTTTTTTTTTTTTTGGTCAGTCATAGGGCTTCAACTCTGGGCCTGAATGCTGTCCCTGAGCTCTTCAACTTAAGGCTAAGCACTCTACCACTTGAGCCACAGCGCCACTTTGGTTTTCTGGTGGTTTATTGGAGATAAAGAGTCTCAGGGACTTTCCTGCCTGGGCTGGCTATGAACTGCAATCCTGAGATCTCAGCCTCCTGAGTAACTGGGATTACAGGTATGAGCCATTGGAATCCAGCCCTGTGTGACTTTTATCTCCAATTAACCACCAGAAAACTGGAAGTGGCACTGTGGCTCAAAGTGGTAGAGAACCAGCCTTGAATTCACTCAGAGACAGCGCCCAGGCCCTGAGTTCAAGCCCCATGACTGACAAAAGTAAAACAGTAAAATAATTTATAATATATGTAATATGTAACATGACAGATTATATATATGAATACATCTAGATAAAAGGCTAGTTGGGTATTTAGAAAAATGTTGAGAGGTGCTCTTCACATGGGGAGAATAAAGTTGATAATTATTTTAAGCTTTTCTTTGTTTCTACTTGAATGAGTGTATTTTTATAACTAGTTATCCCCCCCCAAATATATTTATGGAAGCACTGGGGTTTAAACTTTGAGCCCCATGCTTGCTAGGCAGGCTCTCTACCATCTAGCTACTGTACTAGCCCTTTTTGCATGGGTTATTTTTGTGATAGGGTTTGCTTTCTATCTGGGCCATCCTGGACCAATCCTCCTATTTGTGCTTCTCCATTTTGCTGGAATGACAGGCACCCAGCCACTGGTTGACTCTTGAGAACATTTTTGCCTGGATCAACCAAGTAGCTAGGATTAGAGGCTTGAGCTATCATTCTCAGCCCAAAATAAGTTTTGTAAGAAAACCTTAAGAAGGGCTGGGAATATGACAGTGGTAGAGTGCTTGCTTAGCATGCATGAAGCCCTGGGTTCAATTCCTCAGTACCACATAAACAGAAAAAGCCAGAAGTTGTGCTGTGGCTCAAGTGGTAGAGCGTTAGCCTTGAGCAAAAGAAGCTCAGGGACAGGGTCCAGGCCCTGAGTTCAAGCCCCAGGACTGGCCAAAAAAAAAAGACTTATGAAGTCTTTTTTAAATGAAGCCTTTTTTCTTCACTCAAAAACCAAAATATAATAATTTATAACAGATGAAGTTCTCTGTTGCATCAATTTATAAAGCATTAAATATTGTCTGAAAGTCTAGATGTGTCAGGCTCTATATCATGCATTGGAAATAAAAAAGGCATCCTCTCTGCTTATGCAGCTTACACTCTAGTTGAAAAACATCTCATGCCAGACACTATACCAATGGGAATAAAACACTGAGAAAAAGACACCATCCCTTCCCTCATGCAGGAAGTTGAAAAACACCTCTCTTGCTTCCTAGCCACCAAGAAGCAAGTAGGTATCCTGTACTTTATGTTCTTCCTCCATGATGTTTCTGCCTTGCCTAGATCTAAAAGCAATAGATCAGCTGACCATGCAGTGAAACCTCTGAAACCTGAGAGCTGAACAGATGCTGACATCATCGTCATAGACCTTCTAGCCTCTGACCCTATGAGCCAAAATAAACTAGTATTCTTTATAAATCACCCAGTCTGTTATATATTCTGTCATAACAACAGAAAGTTGACTAACACAGAATACCAACTCTATGTCTAGAAAGCTACATAAAAAGTTTGTATCGAGGGGCTGGGAAGGTGGCTCAGTGGTAGAGTGCTTGCCTTGTATGCTCAAGGCCCTGGGTTCGATTCCTCAGCACCACATAAACAAAAAAGAAAAAAGCCGGAAGAGGCGCTGTGGCTCAAGTGGTAGAGCGCTAGCCTTGAGCTGAAGAGCTGAGGGACAGTGCCCAGGCCCAGAGTTCAGGCCCCACGACCGGACCCCCCCCCCCCCAAAAAAAGTTTGTATCGACACTGATATGCGAGTTAGGAAATCTGAGTTGGGCATCATCTAGTGAATTAACAAAAACTTGACTGCAGTGGTTTAAATCAGAAAGCTATTCATTGTTCACTTAACACTGACATTTTGAATTTTTTTTTTATGGTGGCCTCTAAGAACTTTCTATTTTTTTTTTTTTTTGTCAGTTGTAGGGCCTGAACTCTGGGCCTGGGCACTGTCCCTGAGCTCTTTAGCTCAAGGCTAGTGCTCTACCACTTTAGCCACAGTGCCACTTCCAGCTTTTTCTGCTTATGTGGGGCTGAGGACTCGAACCCAGGGCCTCATGCATACAAGGCAAGCACTCTACCACTAAACCATCTTCCCAGCCTCATCTAAGAACTTCCTTTTGAAAAAAACATTTTAAACTAAAATGACATACAAACAATTGCAAAGTCAACTAGTTATATTGAAATAGTCACCTGTATACCAAAACATAAATTTATGATGATAGACATGTGCTTTCTAGTAGCTCATTAAATAATAAGAGTTAGTAGCAGGAATAACAGTGAGTAGAAATATGGATATTCACAAAGACTCAGAAGTAAGAGAGATGTGATAGAAAACTGGACTGTTTTAGAGACTACTAAAATCATTATAAGCAGACTACTGGTATATACTAACACTTATGGTTGACCATTCAAAGGCAAATAACGAACATAGTTTTAAAAACTGGAAGAAAGAGAATTCTTTCCATATAATACAAGAAAGATAAGCTGAGGCTAGAAATGTGGCTTAGTGGTAGAGTGCTTGCCTAGCATACATGAAGCACTGGGTTTGATTCCTCAGTACCATACAAACATAAAAAGCCAGGAGTGGTGCTGTGGCTCAAGTGGTAGAACATTTGCCTTGAGCTGAAGAGCGCAGGGACAGCGCCTAAAACCAGAGTTCAAGCCCCACAACTGATTAAAAAAAAAAAAAGAACTTGTGAGTAGTTCTTTGATGCAGTATCTGTATTGTAAAGGCATTCACAGAGCAGAGATAAAATATATGTCTTTCAAACAACAAAGGGGTTGAGGATGTAGCTCAGTGGCAGAGTGCTTGCCCAGCTTGCAAAGTCCTGGTTTCAATCCCCAACACTGAAGTTTAAAAAAAAAAAAAAGGACAAGTATTTATCTAGGATATTTCTAGTTCCTATTTCTTTTCATGTAAGCACTGTGGCTTGAACTCTGGCCCTAACTCTCTAGCTTGTCTCTTTGCTCACAGATGTTGTTCTACCACTTGAACCACAACCCTAGATCTGATTTTTTTTTTAGAGGGGAGTGGGCAGTGGGGTTGGCTAATGGAGATGAGTCTCAAGATTTTTTCTGTTTAGGCTGGCTTCAAACTGCAATCCTCAGATCTCAGCCTCCTAAATAGCTAGGATTATAAGCATCAGCTACTGGTTTTCTTTTCTTTTTGTACCAGTCCTGGGGCTTGAACTTAAGGGTCTGAGCACTGTCCTTCAGCTTATATGCTTAAGGCCTACCACTTGAACTACAGCCCTACTTCTGGTTTTTTTGGTAATTAATTGGAGATAAGAGTCCCATGGACTTTCCTGCCAGGGCTGACATCAAACTGAGATACTCAGATCTAGCCACCTGAGTACTAGGATTATAGGTGTAAGCCTCTGGTGCTGGGCTAGTTTCCATTTCTTTTTCTTTTCTTTTTTGGTTGGTTGTGGGACTTGAACTCTGGGCCTGGGTGCTGTCCCTCAGCTATTCAGTTCAAGGCTAGCGCTCTTACCACTTGAGCCACAGCACTACTTCTGGTTTTCTGATTGGTTTATTGGTAGTAAGAGTCTCACGGACTTTCCTGCCTGGGCTGGCTTTGAACTGTGATCCTCAGATCTCAGCCTCTTGAGTAGCTAGGAGTATAGGCCTGAGCCACCAGTGCCCTGCCTAGTTTCCATTTCTGATCGTGTGCTTCTCTATTTTAAACACGTATGTGTTTGAATTTTCCCCCACAAGGAAAGTCACTGTTTTCAACTTTTAATCTACAAGTTTTTCATATTTCTGATGAAAAAGACAATCCACCTTTCTTACTATAACTTAATTACTATATACGTTTATACACACACACACATTTTTATTTTCCCTCAAAAAAGTATGTGGAGGAAGTGGCCCTGTGGCTCAAGTGGTAGAATACTAGCTTTGAGCTGAAGAGCTGAGGGACAGCGCCCAGGCCCAGAGTTCAGGTCCCATCACTGACCAAAAAAAAAACTGAATCTTAGAGCCCAAGTAACACTCTGCCAATTCCAGTCAGTCTCATGATTTAAGAAAAAAAAACAACAACCTGTGGAAGTCAAGTGCTAGTGGCTCATGCTTATAATCTTAGCTATTTAGGAGGCTGAGAACTGAGGATCACTGTTTGAAGGCAGCCCAGATGGAAAAGCCTATATCTAATAAACTATTCAGAAAAGGGCTGAAGGGGTGTTATGGCTCAAGGGAGATATACCCCACAGAGTTTAGGGGAGATATACTTTTCCACATGACATTTGTTTCTACTCATGTCTCAATGTCGTTTTGTGTGGCTTTTTTCTTTTCTTTTTTTTGGTACTGGGGATCAAATACAGGATGTCCACTTGCCAGATAAACACTTTGCCACTGAGCTATACTCTAGCCCTTGAGTAGACTTTTTAAAGGAGATAAGAATTAAGAAGTAGTCACCAAGATGTTTTACAACTAGGAAATATAACCTGCAATATGAGATTAAAGGAGTGGTACAGATTATAGAACCATAAAGGCAATTTTAACAGGAACAAGAGCAACAACCACCTACTCTGAAAAGGCATTTATTCTTGCTTATTTCTTCTGCACTGGAAAGAACATGTCCTGCAAAAGTGCTCTGAAAATCCATACCTTATCTTTAGATAGGGCTTGAAATGCTTTTCCCTTCAATGTACATGAGTATACAGGGAGACATTTTCTTTTTTTGTAGGTTCTACCAGCTGCAGGTTACACACACACACACACACACACACACACACACACACACACGCACGCACGCACACACACACACACACACACGCACATGCGTGTGTGTATTCATTTCACAAAGATGCTACTACCCTGGGGAACACAAGGAAAGAAAGTAGTGAGAACTAGGCTAACCCAAAGGAAGCCTAGTGGGATATGCCATAAAGAAGCTGCAAGTCCAAAGGTAAGAGTTAATACCTTCATCTTCTTCCTTCTACATGTTATTAGCACATTCAATAACATTGTAGGTTCTAATCAGAATTTCTTAGATTTTTAGGGGTAATCAATACTAACCTAATTTTACAGAGGACAATATCAAAGTGCAGAAAGATTTTTTGGTTAACCAACAGCTGAACAACGTGGAGTTTCTGAGGTTGCATTACAACCCACATTAACTTTTCTTTCAATTCAACTACTTAGCAGTTTCCCATAAGAATTCTGGATAAGGATAAAGCATTTGCTAATTCTTAAAGTCAAGGCTATTTGCTGTACACTACAATCTTCTAACCATCAATTGGTCCTCAATCTCTTCACCACCAAGTACAACTAACAAGAAGAAGGTATAGGAATCTGTTCATTTTTTAAAAATCTTCATTTAAGTTAGGCCTTCTTAAACCTTAGCAATTAGTCCTCAGATCAAACATATTCCCTGTAATATAAGTTACCATATTTTTGCAGCTTCTCATATAAATCTGGAGTGCGATACACCAGAGCAGCAAAGGTGGCGTTCACAGCTTGATCAATAGTGGAACCAGCAACTATATCTGTCTTTGGGGCCTGTTTTCTACATGCCTGTATGAATCCTTTGAACAGTTCTGAATTTGGCCCACAGAAGTTCTGAGCAGGCTCTGACTGGGCAAAATCAAGGAGAAAACGCCGGCAGGGATCGTCAGGGATTTTCTTAACCTGGGAACAGGAAAAAAAAAAGTCACGTTTAACATAGTCATTAAAAAAAAAAAAAATCTGCTGAGTACCTACTAAGTCAAAATGGAAGCATAAAATATAGTGCTTGTTCTATTTTAGAGAGAACAGACAAACATATGGGTTTTTAAAAAGGTATATAAATAAAACAAGAACATTAAAACTAGCAGTACCATAAAACAAAATATTGGCTGGTGCCAAATGCCTAGAAGGGATACCCAGTGCTAAGAATTCAAAGGAGAAAATTCCAGGCAGGTTAAAGTAATCAAGAAAAGCCTCCTGGAGGACAGGGCTAAGGGCTATATCCTGGAGGATAAGCAGTTGTGACCCTAAGAAACACAACTACTAGCAGAGTTAAGAGTCAGCAGGGAGACTGACCTGGCCTGATGTCTCAGTTGGGGAGTGATGTGAACTAGAATCAGATAGGTAAGGTGAAAGGAGACTGCAGAGAGCCTTGACTGTCACATTGAGGAGATTAGACTTCACCCTGTGGGCAATGGGGAGCCATTAATTGAGCTTGGCAGTGTAATGACAAGATAATGTAGTGATTTAAAAAAACAAAACAAAAACAAACAAACAAAAAAAACAAAAAGACTTGGGAGTACCAATGTAATAATGCAAGCACAAGATGGAAGTCTAGATAAAGATGGAGGAAAGCAGAAATGAAGAGTAAAGTTGAGGAGGAAGAGAGAAAGAAGGGCTTGCAGTTGACTAGAAAGGAAGGGCACAAGCAGCACAGGGACGAAGGATAGATAGGAAGGACAGGTCTGGGCAAACAATGACCAGGACCAAAAGGAACTGAGAAGACATTATGGTTTTACCCTTTGGAATTAATCGGAATCAGAATGATTGAAATGGAAACACTTAATGGGAAGATAGATACCAGGCCCTGGGAGAACCAGAGCTGGTAACTAATATTTTAGAATTATTCCCACAAATGGGACAGAAAAGAGAGAAGAGAGGACAAAGTCTTGGATTGTGAGAAAGGGAAAGATGCCTGAATAAAGCCTACGCTTTAGAGAAGGAGGAATAAGTTAGTAAAGAAGGCAGACAGAATAGTGAGATGTAAGAAAAGCATGTGGACTGTCATAGGACCAAAAGAAGAAAGTCTGGAGGAATTAGATTCACCACAGAGGTAATAGAGACTAGTAGAGGAAGAATCATTGTATTTATAAATTAACCACAGAATACTTGGGAGGAGAGAAGAAAAAGAAGAGAAAGGAAGATCAAATAGCAGAGTAAGAAAAAAGAAGGATAAGAAGTAGAAACAAAGAGCTACCTTGTTTTGTTTCTAAAATATTACACACCTACTACAGCTAAACGGAGACCAAAAGAGATGACACAAATTATTAAAGTGTGGCTCAGTAGGTATTTGCATACTTGATGACATCATTAAGAGATGTTTACTGCAAGAAAATTATTTTTCATGGAAGAGCCATTCATTACATACTTTTGAGCACCTATGGAACATTAGCTCCTTGAGTTAACACAGTAGCTAGCAGCTTAATGGAGGTGATAACACTAACATTTACAACTTAAAATAATAAGTATTAATAAACAACTTTCACCCAGACAGTTGACAGACAAATAAATACCTCCTTCTCATTCTGATGTAGGTGAGTGGGCCAGCTTGCTTCTAATTCCAACCCTGGACAAATCTGATGCCTGAAGACAGGTTTCCACAATGGGGAGTTCAGTACTGAAGCCATTTTTGCCTGTGGTACTGCCAGGTTACTGCCTAACTCTGAAGAGAAAGTGGCTTATGAGAGTTCTATTTTTAGCTCATTACCTTGAAATTCTTTGAAAGAAACTGATTGTTTAAGACGTGGAGAAAATTTATTCATATTTTTCATAATGGAATTGTGACATATCATAAATATACATTAAAGATTAACCTTAACCTGAAATGCTACTGTCTTGTCCGACTTCAGCTACAATTTCTGGTTTATTAAACTGAAACTGAAGGTTTCAGTTCTGAGGCCTACCAAAAAGCTATTTAGGAATTATGGGAAAATATCACAATTTTTAAACTTCATTTTATATAAACAAATAATTATTCTGAATATTCTGAAAATAAAGTACAGGTAGAAATCAATAAAATGTCAATAGTTATCTGACTATCAAGATTAAAGATGATTTTACTTTTCTTTTGGGTTTTCTCTGCTTTTATCTTAATTAGTTACTATTTTTTTATGATATTGGGGCTTGAACTCAGGATCTCTAACTCTTGTTTGGCTTTCTCACTCACAACTGATGCTCTATCTCTTGAGCCATGCTGGTGTATACTGGGGCCTGCATTCTACCACTTGGGCCACATCCTACTTCTAGCTTTTCATTGGTCAATGGGAGATAAGAGTCTTACGGTCTTTTCTTCCTGAGCTGGCTTCAAACATTGATCCTCAGGTGCCAGCCACTAGTATGGGCCCTGTTTTTTTTTTTTTTTGGTAGATCATGGGGCCTGACCTCTGGGCCTGGGCCTGTCCCTCAGCTCTTCAGCTCAAGGTTAGCTTTCTACCACTGAGCCATCTTCGTAGTCCCCATTCTTGGTTTATTGCTGGTTAATTAGAAATAAAGATTCTCTTGGATTGCTCTATCCAAGACGTCTTCAAATCATGATTCTCATATCTCAACCTCCTGAGTAGCTAGGGTTTTAGGTATGGGTCACTGGTACCAGCCAATGTCACTTTTTTATTTTTTTGGTCCAAAATTAGAATTTGAAATTGGTATCTAACACTTTCATCCACTGGCTGGCATCTAACACTTGAGTCATGCATCCAATACTCCAATGTCATGTTTTTGTGTTTTTGCTGGTCCTAAACTTGGGCATTGTCCCTGGGCTTTTTTGCTCAAGTCTAGCACTCTACCATTTGAACCACAGCTCTACAATTGCCTTTTTTGAGTGCTTCATTAGAGATAAGTCTCATAGACTTTCATGCCCAGGCTAGCTTTGAACCTCAATCCTTAGATCTCAGCCTCTTGAGTAGCTAGGATTAAGGTATGAGCCACCTGTGACCAGCCTAAGTCACTTTTTTTTGTTGTTGGTGGTGGTGGTCATGGGGCTTGAACTCTGGGCCTGAGCACTGTCCCTCAGCTCTTCAGCTCAAGGTTAGTGCTATACCACTTGAGCTACAGTGCCACTTTGGTTTTCTGGTGGTTTACTGGAGATAAGAGTTTCATGGCTTTTCTTGCTTTGAACTGCGATCCTCAGATCTCAGCCTCCTGAATAGTTAGGATTACAGGCGTGAGCCACTGGCACCCGCCAAAGTCACTTTTTTTTTTTTTTTTTTTTTTTTGTGGGTCCGGTCGTGGGGCCTGAACTCTGGGCCTGGGCGCTGTCCCTCAGCTCTTCAGCTCAAGGCTAGCGCTCTACCTCTTGAGCCACAGTGCCACTTCCGGCTTTTTTCTTTTTTCTTATGTGGTGCTGAGGAATCGAACCCAGGGCCTCAGGCATGCAAGGCAAGCGCTCTACCACTGAGCCACCTTCCCAGCCCCCAAAGTCACTTTTTAACAGAGATGTTTTTAGTTACCAAGAGCATGATTACTACTGAGATGCCTCATAACCTTCCTCATAACCCTTTAACCACGTAACTTTTGTTTGTATCTAGAAAGTGACCATTTAGGATGAATGATATTTGTTTTTACAATCAGAAAAATGTTAAAAAAATTATATAGATATAAAATACTCCAAAAAGATTTATTTTACGAATATATCCCTTGGAACAAATAATAAGAAGTTGATTAATGTATTTTAGGATAATATATATATTCACATACCTATTTATGTTCACATAAATTTCACTTAAACAATTAAATGGCTATATTTCTACCTTCTAGTTGGAGCATACTTAAATCTCTAAAAATGACTATGCTGCTGCTAAAAAACAGCAATTTCCCAATTGTCTTCCATACATAGATGGCATCCACAACATACTTTATGATAGGGCCAAAGCCTGAGTCAAGAAACTTCCCAATGGTGCCCAGTGGGCAAACTGTTTTGATTTGGTTTAAAGAAAACTAAAAAGAAACATTATTAATACCTTGCTCTATCGTGATGTGAAGACAACCTATGAGAGAGAGTTCCTACGTTGCTCTTCAACACAGTTGTAATGAGAAAGGAAGGGACAAGAATGTGAACTTACGATGCATAGACTTGAGTGCCATACACTGGGAGGCAAGGCGGCCCATTAGTCGAGAGACAAGGAGTTGCAAGTCTAACCCCCAAGACACGGCAACATCAGGCAGGCCGTAGGCAGTGACAGTGAATTTGTAGCCCCACTCATTATTACTGCTGTCAGAATGAAAGAGGAACTGAAGCCTAGGACCATCCTTAAAGGTCACTTTCTAGAGACAAACAAAAGTCATGTGGTCAACAAGACGGAAGGAGGCAACAACTCAGCAGTAAGCATGTTCTTTATGACTCAAAAAATCTTAAAAGTGGTCTCCGTTTCTACAAGTTCGAAACTATTAAGGGAGAAATGTACAGAGATGATACTAAAACACAAAACTCACAACTACATTTAGAAAGCAGAATTAGTAGAAAACTGCTGTTCAGCTTTCTAAAACTCAAGTGACTATCTGCTGCTTAGCAAGTGATCCTTGGCTCAGTTCTTTGTTCTCAACCAAGACGCTAGATAGGAGAAAGAAGTAAACAGTCTGAAGCAGGCTCCCGCCCAGAGATTAAGCATATCTGTCAGCTGGGGCTCCTATCTTTCACCACGGTTTAAGTCTTTCTCTTGGATCCACTGGCCCTTCTGAACTCAGATTAACAGCTCTTTAATTTACTCTGGACAACACTGGGTATTAGCAAATTTCCTATGAAGAGCCAGATAGTTAAATTTTTAGCTTCTGTGGGCTATATAATCTCTACTGCAACTGTTCCTCTCTACAAGTAGAATATCAAAGCAACTGTTAGAAATATGGGTATGGTTACATTCTAGAAATGTGCCAGTATTAAGGGTTGTACTTAGAGCTTTGAGTCTTTTTCAGTTATTTTGCTCATGGCTGTCACTCTACCATTCAAACCATGCCTCCACTCTGGCTTTTTGCTGGTTGAGATAGGGCTCTCTTAGATTTGTCTACTTAGGCTAGCTTCAAACCTTATTCCTGAGATATCAACCTGCTGAGTAGCTAGGATTTTGAACATTATGAACTTGAGCCACCAGAGCCTAGCTAGTCCTTCTTTTTCCAAACACCATACTTTTATTGCTCTAAAGTTGGAAAAAGGACAAGAATTGCTACAGAAGTACTTATTTACTTTGTTTTGGGAATATGACTCACCTTAGGCCACTTATAAGTACCAACTTTTGTGTCATAGCGTGTCTTCCCACCTCTAGAGTCTGTAAATTCCAGATAATCATACCTGTGAAGGCATAATTTCTATTATATTCTTTGTCTTGTTTTTGATCCACTATTGCTTGGAAGAAAAAAACATGTGAGTCTTACCGCTTTTCAGTTTCACACCTGTCATCAAATTCCACTTCAAAATAGGTTGCCCCTGGGCTAACAAAGACAGATACTTCATGGCAGTTATTTTCATAGTTATGGGCAGACTCCTTGGTCCATGTATGTAGTACCACAGGCTGTTCCTGCTGCCAGGTCTCAACATCCAGCTAGGCAGACAAATGAGTAAGAGAAAATTCCAGATGTTACTACACAACCAACTGTCACAATAGACTATCAGTGCTGTAGATCACAGGATTTGACAGCCCTGATGAAATTTTACACAAGCTAATCTGATTTTCCTGTCTACACAGAGATCAATAGACATCTATCACTTAGCAGAAGTGCATTAGGATTATACTTTAGGGACTCATGCTTTTATCTTTTAGCAGTGACAGAACAATTTTTAAAAATAACTACTGGTAAGGGTAAACAAAGGAGGAGGCTGCAATGCTTGATAAGAAATGTACGCATTATCCTGCCCATGTAATTGTAACCCCTCTGTACAGTATGTTCACAAAAAAATTAAATTAAATTAAATTAAAAAAAATAACTACTGGTATGAATTCCACTGGAGAAAAACACTGAGTTAAAAGTTTAAAGAGCTCACACTTTTATTTAGGACCTTAGCAAGTCTAAGACCACTCTTTTTTTCCTCTTAAAAAAAAAAAAAAAAACGGAAGTGGGCACCAAGAGCTCATAATTCTAATCCTAGTACCCAGGAGGCTGAGATCTGAGGATTGCAGTTTGAAGTCAGCTTTGTCAGGAAAGTCTTATCTCTAATTAAAAGCCAGAAGTGGCTCAAGTGGTAGAATGCTAGTCTTGAGCAAAAGGAGCTGAGGGATAGTGCCCAGGCCCAGAGTTCAAACCCCAATAGTGGCAAAAAAAGATTAGGATTGGATACTGTGGCTCAAGTAAGCACTGGCTTTGAGCTGAAGAGCTCAGGGACAGAGCCCAGGCTCAGTTTAAGCCCCACAACCAACAACAACAACAAAAAAATCAGGGTTGGAGGCATGATTTAGTTGGTTGGTAGAGGACTTGGTTGGTAGAGCACTACCCAATGAGCCAAAGCAACAGGTACTAAGTTTGAGTTCCAGTCTTACACTAAAAAACAAAGTAAGAAAATAAAAAAAGATCTGCCAAATGTATATGCCCTTTCTACTACCATCAGGCAGTTATGAGACTCAAAAAGACAATGAACAAATGTTATATAATAAAAATTAGGTATGGGAGATAATTCTTTTAAATACTAAACCTTCTTATTTGTCTTTTCATGTACATTTTCTCTTTTAGACTTCATTTTTTGTGTGTGTGTGCCTGTCATGGGGCTTGAACTCAGGGTCTTAGTGCTGCCCCTGAGCTTTTTCATTCAAGACTAGCATTCCACTACTTGATCCACGGCTCGAGCCTACCCTTCCTCATCTGTCTCCCTACTCCCAACTGGTTATTTGGAAATAAGAGTCTCACAGGCTTTCCTGCCTGCACTGGCTTCAAATTGAGATCTTCAGATCTCAACTCCTGAGTAGTTAGTATTATAGGTATGAGCTACAAGCACCTGGCTAGACAAATCTTTCAGACTTTATTTACATAGATTTTATGTAACTTAATATACTCTACAATGATTAGATAAATTATACTGCTTTTCTGCCTCCTTTCTAATGCTAATGACAAATCAAGATGATATTTACTATCCTTGTTGGCAAAAATACCAATAAAGCTTCTAGAGGCAATTTATTTGTATACAGCTGTAGTACAATATGTTTTATTGGATAGAGTCATATCTCTCTGAAGAGAGGAAGCAATACAGGTTCAGGGCCAACTGAAGTTACCTTGCTCAGTCCTCCTTCAGGGTCATTGCAGAGCTTCTTCAACAGCTCTGTCAAGGTACTGAACTCTCTCAAGAGAGTACAGTGTGAAATGTCCAAAGAACAGAAGTCTAGGAGAAAGATGACCTAAAGGAAGATGAAGGAAGTACTCAGTATTCACTGCACATGCTGGTATTCCCACCAGTCCCCTCCTTGCTTATTGCAAATAGCCACTTCTCCTTACCAGTTGACGAGCTGCCATGGAAAACACTGAATTACACAGTTTTTCTACTATGGTTTTTCCACTATACTGTGACAAAAGGGATTCCAAAATCACTCTCATGCTTGCCAGAAACTGTCCCACATCTATCAAAACATAAAGTAGTTAATGTTTTATATGGTAAGAACATCATTTACTACATTATTACCGAGGGCAAAGCTAGGGAGGGCTATAGAAGCTGACTACCAAAGCAGGGAGAAGGGAACAGCAGATCACAAGTCCATTAAGCACCATCCAAATAAACAATGTCAATCTAATTTCCTCTGAAAGGGAAAAGCTGTGAAAATTTCAGTAGTTGGTATGACAGATAGCTAAGTTTAAGGTGATTTTTTTTTGACTTTGTTGCTTTTCAATGAAGTGGAGATATCACTCTAAGTTATGTCTGTGATCCCAGCTCTCAGAAGGCTGAGGAAGAAATGAGAATTCAAGGGCAGGGGCTGGGAAGATGGCTCAGTGGTAGAGCGCTTGCCTTGCATGCCTGAGGCCCTGGGTTCGATTCCTCAGCACCATATAAGCAAAAAAAGAAAAAAGCCGGAAGTGGCACTGTGGCTCAAGTGGTAGAGCGCTAGCCTTGAGCTGAAGAGCTGAGGGACAGCGCCCAGGCCCAGAGTTCAGGCCCCATGACTGGACCAAAAAAAAAAAAAGAGAATTCAAGGGCAGCCTGGGAGGACAGCAAGTTCAAGGCTAGCATGGGCTATACAGTGAAAACTTATCTAAAAGAAGTGGTGATGCCTGTAGTCCTAGCTACTTGGGAGGACTGCAGTTTAAGGTCAGCCTAGACAAGAAGTTTGAGAGAACTCATCTTGAGAGACCTCATTTCAACCAATAAAAATCTGAACATATGATTATATATTTGTAGTTCCAGATATTTGGGAAATACAAATAGGAAAACTGCAGTCCAAGCTGGCCCAGACATAAATGTAATATTTGAAAATGAGTTAAATAAAAAGGGGGTATGGCTGAGTTATACCTGCTTAGCAAGCATAAAGCCCTGAATTCAAATACCAGTACTGTGAAGGAGTGAAAGAGAAAGGAGAGGGGAAGGGAAAAGAAAAGGGAGGGAGGGAAGGAAAAGGGAAAAATAAGAAAAATTGACCAAATGAGTCAGCTCTTAATCTTCCCTTTCCTTTAGTTTACAATGGGTCCATGAATTAAGGGTTCTGATCTAAGGCCAAGGCCTAAGTGGCCTGATCCAGAACTCTAAGCATTTTGTCACAATTGCTGAGACCAAATTTGGCAGAAATGAATAGTCAATTTCCCACCATCTGTTGGATTTCATACAATTTCTGTCGATTTACAGGAAACAAGTATCAATATTTTCAGTGACTTATAAAAGTCATAGATTTTAAAAGCTCAAGACTTTCTTTTGAGGGTGACAATTAACAGAGATGGCAGACTCCCCTGACATTCAATAATATCACTTAAGAGTGCTGTATGATTGCAAAGACAATGACTAGGCAGTAGAATGACCAAATTATAAATGAAAACACTAGTGCTAATGGCTCATAACTGTAATCCTAGCTACTCAGTAGGCTGAGATCTGAGGATCAAAGTTTGAAGCCAGCCCAGGCAGGAAAGTCCATGAGACTCTATCTCTAGCTAACAAGCAAAAAGCCAGAAGTAGAACTGTGGCTCAAGTGGCAGAGTACTCATCTTGAGCAAAAAAGCTAAGGGAAATGCCTAGCCCCTAAGTTCAAGTACTGGCAACCCTCCCTCCCCCCAAAAAAGAAAAAAGGCTAGGCACTGGTGGCTCATGCATGCAATCCTAGCTACTCAGGAGGCTGAGATATGAGGACTGGGGTTCTATGCCAACTTGACTCTCATCTCCAATTAACCAGCAAAAGAGCTGAGTGCTGTGGCTCAAGTAGAGCACAAGTCTTAGGCAATAAAGCTCAGCCACAGCACTCAGGCCCTAGGTTCAAGACCCAGAAATAGCACCAAAAAAAAAACAAAAATAAGCTGAACAAGGTGGTGACACAGGCTTGTAATTTCAGCACTTGAGAGGCTGAGGTAAGAGAATCATAAGTTCAGGGCATGCCTCAGCTACATAGTGAGATATTGTTTCAACAAAACAAAAACTTCCAAATAACAAAAACAAAAGCAGAAATAACTAGATCTGAACTGAAATAAGCTATATACATACTTGATGCATGAGTTATAACTATCTGTTTTCATGGATTGTGTATTGATACTCACATTTTTCTATAAGGTCCACAGCAAGATCTTTGGCTCCAGAGTCTGTGCTCTTCAGTTGCAGATAACACCAGGAGAGCAGACTACCTTGCACAGACCAGAACAGAGAAAAGAGCACAGAGCCAACTTCCCCTGGTGCCTCACTGAGCATCAACAGCTCACACTACAAAGAAACAGACAAACAGGCAATGTCCAAATAGGGTGTTCCCAAGCCGGGCGCTGGTGGTTCACACCTGTAATCCTAGCTACTCAGGAGGCTGAGATCTGAGGATCTCGGTTCAAAGCCAGCCCGGGCTGGAAAGTTCATGAGACTCTTATCTCCAATAAACCGCTAGAAAACCGGAAGTGGTGCTGTGGCTCAAGTGGTAGAGTGCTTGCTTTGAGGTGAAGAGCACAAGGACAGCGCCCAAGTCCAGAGTTCAAGCCCCACGAAAAACAAAAACAAAAACAAAAAACACCAAATAGGGTGTTCCCAGAACTTGGTCAGGAACTATCTCTATAGAAGCAGCTGTGACTGGCAAATCAAAAACAAAAAACTATATGTATGGGGCAAAGTTATGAAAGAGCTTTCAATCCAGAAGTGAACCAAGAAAAATGGCGTTAGGAAAACTTCCCTACTGCTCTGCAATTTTGTGGAACCCTACAAATGATTTTTTGCTCCACAAGACATCTTCTGCACCCCAAGAAGCCCATCCCATTGTTCATCTCTTTCTTGTAATGAATCTTCTGTCTCTGGGCCCTTCTCCTGAGTCTTCAATCAAATCTCTCGATAGCAGGGTTGAGGGAGAATTGAAAAGAAGGTGAGTCTTATCAAGGTACATTGCATGAGTTTTGTTTTGTTTTTGTCAGTCGTGGGGCCTGCACTCTCGGCCTGGGTGCTGTCCCTCAGCTCTTCAGCTGTAGACTAGCGCTCTACTGCTTGAACCACAGCACCACTTCTGGCTTTTTCTGCTTATGTGGTGCTAAAGAATCAAACCCAGGGCCTCATGCATGCAAGGCAAGCACTCTACCACTGAGCTACCTTCCCAGTCCCTACATTGTATGAGTATATGGACATGTCAAAATAAAACTACCCTGTACAACAAATTGATAATAAAATATAGAAAAAAATAAAGATAATCCATCATTGAAGGACAACAATAGGAAAATCACATTTTCTAGCAATTCATTTGAAAATGAAAATATAAATTCATCAAAAATTGTTATGCTGCAGTCATGTGACCTCTTTACTAGGCTTAAACAACAATAACAACAACAAAAAGAGAATTGCTAGTGATATCACTGATATTGTGTGACTGGGGGCAGTGATCTCACTAAATGTTAGATCTTCATTTTTGGAAAAGTATGTCTAATTTCAGGCTAAAGATCAATGTCAAGCTATTTGATGAACTAGGAGCTACATATTGTTTCAAATGGTAAAAATATATCACTAAAAAGAACAGAAGCCTTTATTTGTTCTTTTTGTGCCAGTTCTGGAGCGTGAGCTAAAGACCTGAGTGCTGTCCCTCCGCTTTTTTTGCTTGAAGCTACTACTACTCTACTACTTGAACCAGAGCTCTACTTTTTGCTTTTCTGGGGGGTAGGGGAAGAAGAGGTGGTTAATTGGAGATAAAAAAAAAAATTTATATTCTTTCCTGCCCAGACTGGCTTGGATCTCAGCTATCTTATTAGCTGTAATCTAGCACCTGGCGAAACCTTTAATTTTTTTTTTTAATTTTAATTTTTGCCAGTCCTGGGGCTTGAACTCAGGGCCTGGGCACTGTCCCAGAGCTTCTTTTGCTCATGGCTAGCACTCTACCACTTGAGCCACAGTGCCATTTCTGTTTTTTTCTATATATGTGGTAATGAGGAATCAAATCCCGGGCTTCATGGATGCTAGGCAAGCACTCTACCACAAAGCCACATTGCCAGCCCAACCCTTAACTTGTTTTTTTTTTTTTTTTTTATTTGCTTCTTTTTTTTTTTTTTTTATTGTAAAGATACTATACAGAGGGTTACAGTTACATGAGTGAGGTAATGAGTACACTTCCTCTTGAACATTGTTTTCCCCCTCCATTGTTTTCCCCCTACCATCTCCTCCCTCCCTCCCTTCCCCGAGGTTCTTTTTTTTTTTTGATTGTGATTAAGTGATTACATAATTTCAAAGTCACAAGTTCATTCTAACTTCCCTGGAGCAAATTGTCTACCACAGTCTGTAATATATAACAGTGTTCACATGTTATATACCATATTTGTGATCAGCAGCATGGGGATATTTAGTAGTGGTTCAACCAGATGAGCGGGAGTTCTTTGTTTCTTAAAGTACTGTTAGTTTTGTTGTATCACCTAACATTTTGGATTTAGCATCCACTTATCAGGGAGACCATGTACCGTTTGTCTCTTCGTTCTTGGCTTACCTCGCTCAACATGATTCCTTCTAGCTCCATCCATTTCCCTGCAAATGCCATTATTTTGTCATTTCTAATGGCTGCATAATATTCCATTGTGTATAGATACCACATTTTTTGGATCCATTCATCTGTGGTGGGGCATCTAGGTTGTTTCCATATCCTAGCTATTGTGAACAGTGCTGCAATAAACATGGAGGTGCACGTGTCCTTGTATATTGGTTCCTGTTGTTCAGGGTAGATGCCTAGAAGTGGTATGACTGGGTCGTAAGGGAGGTCAATCTTTAGCTTTCTAAGGACCCTCCAGACTGCTTTGCAAAGTGGTTGTATAAGCGTACATTCCCACCAGCACTGTAATAGGGTTCCTCTTTCTCCATATCCCCTCCAGCACTTGTCGTTGGCTGATTTGTGGATGTGCGACATTCTGACTGGGGTGAGGTGGTATCTCAGGGTTGTCTTTATTTGCATTTCCTTCACCACCAGGGATGATGAACATTTCCTCATGTGTTTCTTTGCCATTTTTACTTCTTCATTTGAGAAGTCCCTCTTTAGTTCCCTTGCCCATTTAGTAATTGGTTTGTTAGGTTTGGGAGGGATTAGTTTCTTGAGTTCCCTGTATATACAGGATGTTAACCCCTTGTCTGATATATTGCTGGTAAATATTTTTTCCCAATTAGTTGGTTGTCTTTCTAGCTTAGTTGCGATAGATTTAGCTGTGCAGAAGCTTTTTATTTTAAGGTAGTCCCATTTGTCGAGTCTCTCTCCAACTTGTTGTGACCCTGGGACTCTGTTCAGGAAGTTCCTTCCTGTGCCTATTAGTTCAAGTGTCTCTCCTACTCTGTCCTGCAGTAGTTTCAGAGATTCAGGTTTAATGTTAAGGTCTTTAATCCATTTTGAGTTGATGTTGGTGCATGGTGATAGGCTGGGGTCCACTTTTAGTTTTCTGCATGTGGCTGCCCAGTTTTCCCAGCACCAGCGGTTGAAGAGGCTGTTTCTTCCATTGTATGTCTTTGGCTCCTTTGTCGAATATCAGCTGGCTGTAGGCCTGTGGATTTATTTCTGCATCTTCTATTCTGTTCCATTGGTCTTCGGGTCTGTTTTTGTGCCAGTACCATGCTGTCTTTGTTATTATAGCTCTGTAGTAGAGTTTGAAGTTCGGCATGGATAGCCCTCCCATATTGTCTTTATCCCCTAGAATTGTTTTGGCTATTCTAGGTCTTTTGTTGTTCCATATAAATTTTTGGACTGTTTTCTGTATTTCAGTGATGTACGTCATTGGGATTTTAATAGGAATTGCATTAAATTTGCATATTAGTTTTGGAAGTATTACTATCTTTACTATATTAAGTCGGCCTATCCAGGAGCATGGGAGGTCTTTCCATTTCCTAGTGTCTTCTGCAATTTCTTTCTTTAACTTTTTACAGTTCTCGTTAAATAGTTCTTTTACATCTTTGGTTAGGTTAATTCCTAAATATTTTATTTTTTGGGAGGTTATTGTGAATGGGGTTGCTCCCTTTATTTCCCTCTCTTCCTGTACGTTATCAGTGTATAGGAAGGCAACTGATTTTTGTGGGTTTATTTTGTATCCTGCTATTTTGCCGAAGTGACTTATGATTTCTATAAGTTTGGGGATGGAGTTTTTGGGATCGTGGAGGTATAGTATCATGTCGTCTGCAAAAAGGGATAGTTTCACTTCTTCTTTCCCTATGCGGATCCCTTTAATGTCTTTTTCTTGCCTTATTGCCCTGGCTAAGGGTTCTAGGACTATGTTGAAGAGGAGTGGAGACAGTGGGCATCCTTGCCTTGTTCCTGTTTTTAGGAGGATTGGTTGTAGCTTTTCCCCATTAAGTATAATATTGGCTATTGGTCTGTCATAAATGGCTTTTATTGTTTTTAGAAATGTTGCTTCTATTCCTATTTTCTCCAGAGCTTTTAGCATGAATGAATGTTGAATTTTATCAAAGGCCTTTTCTGCATCTGTGGCGATAATCATGTGATTCTTGACCTTGGCTCTGTTGATATGCTGGATTACATTTATTGACTTACGTATGTTAAACCATCCCTGTGTCTCTGGGATGAAGCCTACCTGATCATAGTGTATTATTTTTTTTATGTGTTTCTGGATTCTGTTAGCTAGAATCTTGTTAAGGATCTTTGCATCTGTGTTCATCAAGGAAATTGGCCTGTAATTCTCCTTTTTGGTTGGGTCTTTGCCTGGTTTGGGGATGAGTGTGATATTGGATTCGTAGAATGAGTTTGGGATAGCTCCCTCCTTCTCTGTTTCTCTGAAGAGCTTGAGGAGTATGGGTATTAGTTCTTGTTTAAAGGTCTTATAGAATTCTGCTGTGAATCCATCTGGTCCTGGGCTTTTTTTTGTTGGAAGACTTTTGATAGCTTCCTGTATCTCATTATAGGATATTGGCTTATTTAATTGGTTAACTTCTTCTTTGCTCAGTTTGGGTAACTTGTATTTCTCTAAAAATGCATCCATTTCTGCCAGATTTTCTTCCTTTAGAGAGTATAGCTTTTGAAAGTAGTCTGTTAGAATTGTTTGGATATCTTGGGTACGTGTTGTGATGTTTCCGGTGGCATCCCTAATCCTATTAATATGGGTTTCCTCTCTTCTTTTTTTAATTAATCTTGCCAACGGGCCATCAATTTTGTTTATTTTTTCAAAGAACCAGCTTTTTGTTTGGTTTATTTTGGTTATGGTTTTCTGATTTTCTAATTGGTTAATCTCTGCTCTTAATTTGGTTATCTGGTTTCGTTAGTAGCT